CATTATGTTCATTATCTTTTGGAATTCGTTTTAACATGGTAAATTGGGCAATATAAAAGAAACAATTTCAGAACAATTTATTTTCTTATTTTCCTATGATATAACAGGGATTATCATTTTCCATATATTTCCAGATTTCCGGATATTTTTCTCAACTTTTAGTTTTTTTGGATATCAAAAATGTTGTACATACAAGTTTAGGATTATATTTTTGTAATATGTCTTTTAAGCTTAGTCACTCATTACTCATATAAAACTCACTCATTACTCATATAAAAATTAGGAAAAGTTAAAAAAAAAATAAAAACAACTTAGCTAAAATCAAAATTAAGAGGAATATTAGTGAAAATATATTCCGAATTTTTTTCCGGATATTTTACCCTACTGATTTTCCAGATTTTTAAAATATGACCTGGATGATCTATTTATTGAGAAAAAAATGTCAAATATAGCAAAAAACATTTTTAAAAACGAAAGATGTACAAATCAGATAAATGTAACAAAAAAAGTTAACAAAATTTCTCATAGTTCTAGCGTACATAGCAAATTATTTTCTTAATTATATAGACTGATAAAAATTGTGAATAAATAGCATATCAAAACTTAAAATTGTTGTTAAATTGTTAGAAAAGATGTTTTTTTCAACAACTTATTCTAAAAAAATACTAAAGTTGTATAAAAATTTTATAAAATTTTTTTTTTTACTTTTTTGAACTGTTAAATTTTCTAATTAAGCTTGATATTTTGTTACAATTTCATTTCCTTTTTCAGGAAAATTTTTTAGCTTTTTTTCTTATTAGATAAGTTTAGCTTTTTACCACAAATTTTTGAAACGCTTCATGAGTTAAATAAAGGCAAGCTGTCGCGGTTTGTCTAAAAAAATTACTTTAAACAGTTTGTCTTAAAAAATTACTTTAAACACGGACGAACAAGGCGTGCGACCGCATGGGCTTTCTGGGAAGGCTTGATATATATATATTTCAAGATACATAAACAAAAATTTTAAAAAATATCAACTGCTTATTTAAATAAAATATTTTTTTATAAACAGTTATAAAAATTTGTTTAAATTTAAATTACAAAACACAAAAACAATTTTAAAAGTATTGAACTCATTTATTCAAGTTTTATTTACAAAAACGTTTTCTTATAATTACTAGCTCTCTTGCTTGCAGCTATTTTTGAGCGATTAAATTTTTTTTTTTTCGCAAAGAAAAATAGTAACAAATAAACTTTTTATAAATTAAAATAGGAATAATGTGAAATCATTTTAATAAAAAAGCGATGCGCACATAATTAATAACATAAAATCTTTTTTTAAAAGCAGCTTAAAAATTTCTTTGTTTAAATTTTTTTTTAATTCTGATTTATTCCCAACAAGGCTGCAAACAACTACTATTAAGTTAAGACTAGAAAACAAAGAATAGAGTTATGTTATTAATGAGCAAGGAAATGTTTAACAGAAGACTTGAAAAGTTGTACAAGTCTGGAAAACATAAAGATTAAAGAGAGTTCCACCAGCTTAAATATGATAATCATATTTCATACAGGGACGATTTATATATATATACATATTAATTTATATACATATATATAAACATTATTAAAGCAAGAATTGTTTGAAATAAATAACTGAGAATTGTTTGAAATAAATAACTCGTGAAGTTGAAATTCACAAACCAGGTTGAGAGAAAGTTCACTGATGTAGATAAGAAGAAAAAAAAAGGATCGAGGGTTGGGATATGAGGTACCCTTAGAAGTTACTGGAAATAAAGAAAAGTGTTGGCCTTTGAGGATGACTTTAATAAAGTTTGTAACAATCCTTGGGCTAATGTTTTCTCTCTCCGCTGATAAATTTGCCTCCTACTTAACCTGGATTAATACAAATTAGTACAAATTAGATTTCAAGTCAAACCTCATTCTACTCCATGAGTTTTGTCTTCTTGTGCGGTGCTAGGTGTAATTATAATATTTTTTATTATTATTCTCTTTAGAATAAATGCTTTTTTAATATTGCAAGAAATCAGTGTAAAAAGGGAGTGTCTGATACTAGGCTTCATTATTCCCATAGTAATCAATCTCGTATCATATAGCAGAAGTAAAGCTCTAGAAACTTTTGAAAAATCTTCAACAGTGTCAAACATTCCATCTCTAATTCATGAGATTGGTTTTATTAACTTTTTCAAGGATAAGGCAGAGTTATTTGCAAAGAATTTTTCTTTTAATTTTACTTCTGAAGCTAATGGCTATACTCTTCCTGCCATTCCAGTTAAACTGGTTAACCCATTGTTAGACATTCAAATCACTCCAGGTTCTGTTGCTTAATTCATATCTCAATTAAACTCTTGTACAGGTTGGCATGCTGGTAATATTCTTTATTTAATGTTTTTTGGAAAATTTCTAAGATTATCAAATCATTTTTTTTAACCGCTTTATTCAAGTCATCCTTGAAGTCCATCACTCTTCTTCATTTAGTTCTTATCTACATTAATGATCTTTCTGGTAACCTAACATCTAAAGTGGCTCTATTTACTGATGACTCAATATTATACTCCTCTCTCGAACAAATTATTTCCTTTTCAATTGCTTAGAACAGGCAGCCCATCTTGTATCTGATCTCACTTCTGTAACAGGTTTGGGCTTGCATTGGTTTTTGAATTTTAATTCCAAAAAAACTGTTATTTAGTATATAATTACTGTTTTTTAAAAAGGGAATCATCTTAGCTCATCTCTGTTCCAATGCAGTTATATGCAGTTACATATATATATATATATATATATATATATATATATATATATATATATATATATATATATATATATATATATATTCTAAATTCTTTATTTCAAGCTTCTTGAGCTTCTTCACTAAATAGACCTATTGGTAAGAATAGATTTTCTATTACTTCTGCTCCATGAATTAAGATCTTGTGTGAAGACTCTGAGGCATGTAATACCAATGATACAAGCATGAGTAGAGTTTTGCGGTCTCCAGACAAAGTAAGAGAAATTTACTAGTATCTATTTGAAATCCAATTGATATACAAATTAGAATTTTATGCAACTTTAAAATTAGTTCTTTGTTTATTCCTGTAATATCAGCAAACAAGTCTTTATTTGAGAAAGCTTTTCGAGCAGTATACATATATATATGTATATATATATATGCATTTATATACATATACATATACATATACATATACATATACATATATATATATATATATATATATATATATATATATATATATATATATATATATATATATATATATATATATATATATATATATATATATATATATATATATATGTATATATATATATACACACATATATATATATATACACACACATATATATATACATATGTATATTTATTTATATTTATAAATATATATATATATATATATATATATATATATATATATATATATATATATATATATATATATATGTATATATATATATATATATAATATATATATATATATATATATATATATATATATATATATATATATATATATATATATATATATATATATATATATATTAAATTCAAGATATGGATAATTGAAGTAAAAAGAACCTTAAATATCAGTTTATCAATGTAGCTAGTGGTTCGTTTTAGTATACTAAGCATCTATTTTGCTTTAGATGTAGAGCTAATTGCATGTTATTTTCATTTAAGTTAACCATGTAATTGATATAAATTGATAAGAAATATCATAGACTTTTCCAAAGTTAAAAACCATCCTTCTAGTTTCTTTCCTCACACATCAATGCTTTGGAACTTCATCTTCATCTCCATTCTTCACGTTTTGTCAACTCATACAATTTACAGTTTTTCAAGTCTTTTGTCTGTTTTCTTGCTGTTTAAAATATACTTTGTTTTCTAATAACTCTTAACTTAAATAGTGGTTGCTTGCAGCCTTGTTGGGAATGAATTAGAATTTTTTTTTTAAATCTTAATTGTATTTTTAAGGCATCTTTGATAAAAATTTTAGAAGATATGGATTGCTTAAATAATGGAACATCTGTTATTGAATTTGGAGCTGGAAAAGGTAAAATACGTTTGCTATAATTTTTTTAATTAAAAAATAATGGAACATTTATTATTGAATTTGGAGCTGGAGAAGGTAAAGTACACTTGTTATAATTTTTTTAATAAAAAAAAATTATAACAATTGTATTTTACCTTTTCCAGCTCCAAGTTTTTAGACAAACCGTGACAGCTTGCATCTTTTAACTTATGAAGCGTTTCAATAATTTGTGGTAAAATGCTAAACTTATCTAATAAGAAAAAATACTAAAAAATTTTCCTAAAAAAGGAAATGAAATTGTAACAAAATATCAAGTTTAATTAGAAAATTTAGCAGTTCAAAAAAATTAAAAAAAAAAATTTTCTAAAATTTTTATTTTTTGATTTAATTACAATTAAAAATTATGAACTTGATATATCTATATTCTAGATTGTAGAATTCTCGTAAATAAAAAGTTCAACAACACCTGGAGGAAATTTATTTTTTACAGATGAAACAGTTTTTCTATAAGATAAAATAACTCGATCAGATATACATAAAAGTATTTTCATTACATTTTCATTTGTTTTTGTTCTTGAATTTTTACGGGAATGATGTTCCCTATATTTTCTAAATTCTTTATTTCAAGCTTCTTGAGCTTCTTCACTAAATAGACCTATTGGTAAGAATAGATTTTCTATTACTTCTGCTCCATGAATTAAGATCTTGTGAAGACTCTGAGGCATGTAATACCAATGATACAAGCATGAGTAGAGTTTTGCGGTCTCCAGACAAAGTAAGAGAAACTTACTAGTATCTATTTGAAATCCAATTGATATACAAATTAGAATTTTATGCAACTTTAAAATTAGTTCCTTGTTTATTCCTGTAATATCAGCAAACAAGTCTTTATTTGAGAAAGCTTTTCAAGCAGTATTGCCAACATTTGAGTTTCCAGATCCTCCGCATTTTGGATAGTCAACAATAAGTCCCATTTTTGTTGAAATTCTCTTTATATCTTCATTTTTTGTTCTTTAACAAGAGGTTTCTCTTCGTCTCCTCTTGCTTGCCATTTTTTTATTAGTATCTTATATAAAATATGAATGAGACACTCAAATCTTATCCTTGCATTGAAGCTCATCCGGTGAGTATGGAAATTTTGTAACTGTCATGTCTTTTGGTGAACACCCACATATACAGCAACATTGACTAGAGCTTGTTACATTTGATAGAGCAGTATGGACTTTGCCATCTATCATTGTAACTTAAATGATATGTTTGACTGAAATAGACTTGCCATTAGATAACTGAACAAAAGTTTCTACAAGATTTAAGATCTCGTCTTTCAAAGTAGTTTCTTCAATAAGTAAAAAATCAGTTGTTTCTTTTTCAAATTTAAATCTTAAAGTTCGGCAATATAAAGTGGAAGAAGGTTTTAAATTTCTCCAAATGACAGTTAGGGTTTCTCTAACATAAGTTGTAATCTGAAGTGGAACCAGGCAAGTTAGAAACAATAATTCTTCTCTTATATATGCTTTATATATGCTTTGACTAGTAGACCCATCAAAACCTGCTTTAAAACGAAGAGATACCAGGTCAAACATTTCTAGCATACATAAAACCTCATTTTGAACTTGACAAAGTCTTTGAGCTGTATGGTCACAAAGTCTTTGAGCTGTATGGTCACATAAACTTTGTAGTGGTATACTTGCAGTATAGTCAGTAAAAATCATGTTATTAGGGTAGCACAAAAGTTTTGATGATTTTGTATTGTTATATGCAGGATACTCCATAGAAATGCAGCAATTTTTCAATTGCTGCATTTCTATGGAGTTGAAACGCAGCTTTGGTTATATTTGAATCTAGCATCAACGACAATGCTTCATTTCCAGAAAGCATAGAAGAATCTACGTTCTTATCTAAATATATTTTGTTGATTGCTTTAGCTTTTTCTATTTTTCTTTTTTTATTTAATGAAACTTTTGAAGCAATTAGATTTGACTTTTTTGACTTTTTTGGAGTTTACTAAAAAGTCAATACTTAGTTCTTGAAGAGCATTCTTGAAAGTCAGTAATTGTTGGTTGACCAGCACTGGAAGTAGATTGAGAACTTGCAGAAGGTATGGTTATTTTGCCTGCAGCAAAATCAGTTAATTTCATTATCAAGCCATTTAGTATTTTTCTTAATAAAAAAAGATTCTCTGCGTTTACAGAGATTCCAGCGATATTTAAGATGTGCTAAAATGTTCATAAGTGTTGATCTCCGAACAATTTCATTGTTCTGATCAAGGGATAACTCAAAGAATGTTAGCAAATGAATATATGATTTCTCAGTATCTTGAATAGAAATTTCATTATCTTTTAAAGAGTTGGAAAGATCAAAATATTTGAACATAAAATTGAAGTTATTACATCTTGCAGACGAGTGTCTGTAAAATATTATTAGTGCATGCAATATATGTAAAAGCATTAGATATACTGAAAAGGTTATAAAAATATTTTTTTAAGGAGGAAAAGGAAGGAAAGGGGGTAAGAGGGATGGAGGGAAAATGACACCATATCAACAAGTATCATATATATAACTAAAAAAAAAATAGTTATTGAAACCTTTGGTAAAAAAAATCTTGCATAATTAATTTGCAGTTAAAAAGTCATTAAAAATATTTGAGTTTTAAGAACTTATGAAAAACATGTTTTTGCAATAAATACTATGAATCGAGTATGAGTTATTTGTTATAACTGTATTAGTTGCAAAAAGTTGCAAAATATTTATGATACATTGCAGTTAAGATACATTAAGCATTAGATTTACATAATCAAATGTTTGAAGGATATTGGAGGACGGTTTATCTGATACCTAATCGTAAAAGTTAGTTGCAAAAAAAAAAAAAGCCAAAACTGCCTGTCACTGATGTATAAAAACTTAAGAATACATTTACGTTTAATTGTTTTGAATAGTCAGAGCGAAAAAAACAAAGTTAATTCAAATAATATATTTTAAAATCATACTCAATAAAATTAATTTAAAACAATAGTAGCGTAAGAAAGTTGATAATTAAAAAATGCAAAAAAGCGTTTTGAAACAATGTCAAATTCATGTGTATATAACTGCATAATACAACTTTTGAATTAATATTTAATGTTTTTTAAACTATATATTTCCTCTAATAAACATATTTTCACCATTATGACATATTTTCAGAATACAATGCTGAGTGATTTTTATGTATTTTGGCAAACTCTTTCCCACTGCGCAATGGTGACAACAGAATATTGTTTACTTTATGTTTTGTTATTCTTAGGTTCTTTTTCACACTGGGTACAAAAAACAATGAGTAACAAAAATGATGTGAGTTTTTATCTTGTAGACAGACAAAGCAACAGAAACAAGGTATAACTCAAAAGTATAATTTCTAAATTTTTTTGTATGTGGCCATATATTTAAATGTCACCATTTAAAACCATAATAGTTAAGTAAAAAATTATTATAACATTGTCAATTTTTTTAATTCTGCACCAGGCAGAACATTCAGGTTTTTTTCTGGATTTTTAAACTTCTAAATATAAAGATTAGACAGTTTTTCAGCTATTTTTTATACTTTTTGAGATTATCCAGACTTTATGCAGTATTTAGATGCTTTTTTTTTAATGATTTTGTGAAAACTTCAAGGTAAACATAACTGATAATTTTCATAAAAAAGGTTTGTCTAAGTTTAAGAGAAAAAGTTTTTATAATATTAAAAGTTCTGGTTAAAAAAATGTTCAGCATTTTTTGCAAGAAAGCTTTTTATTATTATTCAGATTCATTCAGTTTGATGAAATTAAGTTTTCTTAAATTAAGTGAGAAAGTCATTGGTGCAAATAACAAAGGTTTTAAATAGAGTTTAGCTAGCTAAAAAAAATCTTTTAAAAGTGTTTAAAATTGAGTTTTTAGCAAAGATTTAATTTTACTTTTAAAATTATGAAAAAATATCTTAAAAAAAACTTTCAAAATTCAAAAGAATTAGACACAACTAAACTTCGTCATACAATTTATTTGTTGAATTTATTTGTTGAATTTTTAACAGTTTGATGGTCTCCATGGTTACCATGAAATTCTTAAAGTATTAGAATCACTCTTTCAAAAATGTAAAAAAACTCAAATGAAATCTTAAATCATAAAAATAATAATATAAATATTTAACTGATGTGAAGAGAATTTTGTATAGAAAATGAATTCCAGATATGAATGAAATCTAACAGCAATCTTCAAGTTGTTATCATTGATGTAGATGAATGGCTAACTGAAAAAAATTAGAGCAAAAATAACTGGAAGAATTTCTTTTGAAGCATATGTGGGAATTAACTCAAAAAAATTTAACTTCCATCTCCTACCAACCAGTTTTAATAAAATAAAAAATTAATAAATAAATTGCAATCAATCTAAGTGGGCTTTTGTAGTTGGGGGAATGTTTTAAATAAAGGTTGTAACAAGATATTTTATTATAAAGTGATAAAATTTTATTGAAGAGTAAAATTATTAGATATTGTGAACATTGATATTGGTTTTAATTCATTGCAGTGTCCCATACCATTTGAATGGTATGGGCGCTCAAACTAATACACCACAATTTTTTTTTTTTGATAAATTACATATTTCAATATTAATAAAGTTCAACATGAAATAAAATTAAGTAGTAAAAGTAAAGTCCAACATTATGAAATAAAATAAAAATAAAACACGCTAAAAAAATTTTCATTATTATTAGCGTTTTATAATTTTGTAATATTTTGTAACTATATTTATAGTGTAATATTTTATCAACATTAAACACTTTTTACGAACTGTATTAATATCTTGATAAGAAAGTTGAAAAATAACAAAGATCTAGTTGAAAAAACTTAAAAAAGGCTAAAAAACTTTTAAAAGATATTGTTGAACAGAAAGTTGGGATTCAAATAAAATTCAAAATATTATTGTGTGCATAAATACTGTAAAAGCACATAAACAAGAGTTCTTAAGCCATTAAAGTAGTGCATCACAATTGTCTAGAAAGCTAACCAGTTTGTTTGTTTTTACCATCAAAACAATAAGTTGATGAGTGCAACTTTATCCAAGGGTTGTTTTATATAGTATATTGATTTGATGAAAGTATGTTTTTGGAATATAGATAGTTGATGCTACTTCATTTTTTTTCCAACTGCTTTTTGATTTAAAAACTTAATCTGAATATATGTTTAATAAGAATGATTTTTATTTTGATGAGATGACCAGATTACATAGAAATAATGAGTGTCAAATGATTTAACTGCATTTGTCTAAATGTATACCATTGATTTTACTGAATTTTTAAATTTTAAAAATTCTCAAAATTTAAAATGCTTGTCAGAGACAAACAAGTTGGACATCAAGACATTTCTTTTGTTATTATTGAGTTTAAAGAAAACTATAGTTCTTGTTCTTGTGCAATGTATAAAAGTTTTACTGGCAAGTTGATCTGGCAAAATTTAGATCTGTTTGCTGCTTTAAATGTGATTTAACAGAAGAAATATTGGGACAAAAAAGACTGAAGACTGAAGACAAAAAAAACAGATTTAAGAGATCCCTATTTTTGACTTTTCCTGATATGATGTATGTTTTGTCATTCCCTCTATTCATCATTTTTTGTATCAAATATGCAGAAAGTAAGTAGTGTTGAAAGTCCAAATACAATATTGTCTGTATTAATTGCAATATTGTCTGTATTAAATGCAATATTGTCTGTATTAATAACAATATTGTCTGTATTAATTGCAATATTGTCTATATTAATTGCAATATTATCTATATCAATTGGTCTTTTCATGCAACCTTCAAAATGATTTATTTCAGTTGACTTGGATTTACAAATGTTTGCAAAAATATCTCAGTGATTACTATTTAAACTTTCATAGTGAAAAATTTTTAGTTGTAATTTTGATTCAGCAATCTAATATTACTGATACCATCAGCTAAATATAAAATAATTTTTTTTAACCTTTAGAAATAATACTAAAGAATGCATACAATCGAGGGTACTAGTAGCTCTCACTCTTTTGTGCTAGATTAAGAAAAATTGTATCTAGGAAAAATCTATTGTGATACTGTGTATGTTACCTTGTATTTTATATCTTGTTACCTTATGTTTACTTGTGATTCTGTCTTATCAAATAAGTTAGATACTCATTGATTAATAGCAATTTAGTAAAATAAAACTTTTTAACTTAGTACATATAATGTAAATCTGCCTTTATTATAAAGGTGTGGCACATCAAACTTGGAAAAATTTTTAATTTTTTTTTGCAATTTTGAGGTAAAATAACTAAGATATTGTTTTGAAAAAAACTGTATAAATGCACTGATTGGGTAAAAACTTGACAAAATTTCATATGATAATTGTTTTTAGTTCAAAGGTTTGATACAAAATGATAAAAAAGTAATAAAAATTAAAAAAAGTAGTATCAATAATTTAAAAAAGGAAAAAAAAATCTATTCTAAGCTGATAGTACTCAAATTTTGCAATCATAACTTTTAAACAACCATGACTGTTTCCAACCTTGGTAATAAAAACTTATCACTTAGGCCCCTGCTGGAACAGTATTTTAATGGATTAAAGTTTAGCAAAATTTCTTCAAAATGTGAAGGAGAGCAATTTTTATACTTTTACTTCAATATTACTGAAAGCCTGATAATTTTTATCCTACAAAACTCTTTTGACTTTATTTGAAATTTTTTGAATTGCCTATAAACATTAAATTATTGAAATTTATGCAACTGTTGTATCTGTTACATTTTCAGTTTCAAAATAACAACAAGTAACAATAAAAAAATGGTTAAAGTTAAAGTGAAAATTAATAGAAAAATTTGAACCTTTCATTTTATGCATCTGATATCAGTTACATTTTTAGTTTGAAAATAACAAAGTATTAAACTTTTTGGTGAGTCAAAATTTTCAGTAATAACACTAAAATTCAGTAATAACACTGAAATGTGATGATAACTACAAGACTTGAAGAGAGTGTTAAATCAAACTAATAGTTAGTTTGATGCTAGCATACACTAGCATAATACACTAGCATACACTAGCATAATACACTAGCATAATACACTAGCATAATACACTAGCATAATACACTAGCATACACTAGCATAATACACTAGCATACACTAGCATAATACACTAGCATACACTAGCATAATACACTAGCATACACTAGCATAATACACTAGCATACACTAGCATAATACACTAGCATACACTAGCATAATACACTAGCATAATACACTAGCATAATACACTAGCATACACTAGCATAATACACTAGCATACACTAGCATAATACACTAGCATACACTAGCATAATACACTAGCATACACTAGCATAATACACTAGCATACACTAGCATAATACACTAGCGTAATACACTAGCATCAAACTGGTGACTGACTTCAATAAATTTTTCATACAAAGAATGATGTTCAATTTTTCTACTAAATAAAAAAATATGGTTAAAAATGTTTTTATGCATAAATCAGTTATTATTGTAAAAAATCTAAAGATGTTAAAGTTAAAAATAGTTGTGTCCATTTTAATAATTTCTTTTTTCATGGTATAATGGTCAAAGTATTGAAGCAACAGAATAACTCAAGATTAAGTTTTAATAATATTTAATTTTTTTAATTTAATAATAATAATTTTTTTACTTGTTCAATTTTATAAAGTGTGCAATTTTATAAAATATTTGCACATATTATTGACTACTCTTAGTTTGACTGTTACCATAAAGGTGAACTACAAGGACCAAGGTTTCAGCGCTTAAACATCGATATTCAACATTTGAATTTGGGTGAGTAAATTTTTTAATTTTTAATTTTTATTATTAATTGTTAAGTAATTAAATTATATAAAATTAAAAAAAACAAAAAATTTAAGTTTTAAATGAATAGTAGCAGAAAATAGCAACATGGCAAAATGTTCCATAAATGTTCAATTATGTTACCATGTGGACTGCTTCCCGGCCATAAATCTTTCTAAATCATCATTGTAAAATTAGCAAAATTGCTAAATTTTGCTAATTGTACCAATGATGATTTTGAAATTTTTGTTTAACCATTAAGGTGAAGAAAAATGGTTTTCAATTCTGATATTAATTTTTTCAACAAGATGGCACGCCAGCAGTGTGTGCTGGCATGCCATCTTGGTCATCTTGGAGCTAGCCATTTTGTTCTAACTAGTCACAAAATTTAAAGTGATCATTTCAATTGCTCGTAACAAGATGGTTGGACAACAACAATGTTTATTTTCATGAAAATAGTTTTTAATAGGTCTTCTCCAGTAAAATAATTAACAAATATTAGTTTATAAATTTTATTTAAATTTTCTGAGTCATATAATATATATGATGTTAATAATTTTCTAGAAAGTTATGATCTAAGTGTCATAACACCAAGTTTGATTTCAAAAAAATCAGTTATAACAAAAGTTCACAAAACTACATTTCAAAATGTTTAATAACATCCTCAGAACCATAGTAAAGATTTCAGCCAGAGAACATTCTACATTCAAAATTCTATATTATTTTCTTTTTGTTTTGTAGAAAATGTTTTTCCTTAATATTAAGCAGCATGAAAAAACCAGGGATGTGGAGTCCCAAAAAGGACTCCTAATTTTAAAGTCGCAAAAAGATTGCTTCTTTCTAGTTTTTGGTATCCAGGAGCTTTAAAAATATAAAAAGGCTTATGGGCTTCTAATGGGGAAAAAATCAAAATTTTTATAGGTCAGAAGAACATTCAATTTTTGAACCCGGCTTAAAAACAATAAGTTCTAAGTCATTAAATATCATAATTTTTTGCTTATATTGATCATTAATCAACCAACATGTTTAATCAACCAACATGTTTAATCAACCAACATGTTTAATCAACCAACATGTTTAGCCATGTTGATTAATGATCAATATAAGCAAAATAACTTTATAACTTAAAAACAAAATAGCTTTATAGCATTATTTTTCAACCATGAAAAAATAAAGTTATAAAGCCGGAAATTATGTAATTAAATTATGTAATTAAATTATGTAATTAGTTTTTATCAGGGATGCTAAGTCCTTTAGGGACTTAGCATCCCTGATAAAAACTAATTACATAATTTATGACATTAGTTTGATTTATTAAGTCAGAAAATATTGAGTTTTTTTTAATTAATAAAAATATTTTTTTTTTTACTATTTTACTTTTCTCGCAACAAACAACATTTTACTTTTCTCGCAATGAACAACATTTTACTTTTCTCGCAACGAACAACATTTTAATTTTCTCGCAACGAATAACATTTTTATTTTTTTGCAACGAACAGCATTTTACTTTTCTCGCAACGAACAATATTTTAATTTTCTTGCAACGAACAACATTTTACTTTTCTCGCAACGAACAACATTTTAATTTTCTTGCAACGAACAACATTTTAATTTTCTCACATTGAACAACATTTTACTTTTCTCAAAAAAATGTTTATTTTAACTACTTAACTGTTAAAATTTCAAACAATTTTTTTTTCCCTGTATTTTCAGAAAAAGTGGAATCACTATGTAACTCATCACAAAGTATTGTTGGAATTGGAAAACATGTTTGTGGAGCAGCAACTGATCTTACACTTAAATGTCTTTTTGATTCTTCATCTAACATATCAGAGTGAGGCCATTTTATGTTTGAAAAATTGTTTGGAATTTAAATTGAAATTGAACTATTTAAAATGAAAATTTTTTCTTATAAGCTTCATTTTTATTACTAGCTTTATTAGTTATCATCTAAAATATAAATTAATTCCAAATCATATTAATCTTTAGAAATGACGAGCCTCCAAAAAAAAGGAAAACGAATTTGAAATCTCGAGTTCATTCGTGTTTATTTGCTCTTTGTTGCTATCACTGTTGCACGTGGCCAACTTATGTAGGAAGAGACTTTTTTATTCGTATAGGTTTTACTGCATATGATTTCAATATAATCTCAAAAATGGTGGGTTGGGCTACTTGTGGATTTTCCAGGAGAAAAAGTATTAATAAGTTTACTTTAAATAATATTTTTCATTTCATTTTAAATATTTTATTTAAAATTTTTATTCTTTTATTTACCTTTTATAAAATTTTAAAATTTCTTTACTTATTTTAAGTTATCATGAGGGGTGTTGGCCTACATAGGTGTTATGCACAAATCTTGCATGGTTTTTTTATGTTTTGGTTTTCATAGTTTTTTTGTTTATTGTTTGTGATGGTGTTAAACCAACTGTAAGTAAAGCTAAAGTTCAGCAAATCAAATTTTAATCATTAATCAAATTAAATATGGAAGTATAATTAAGATGAAAAGTTTAAATTAAAACTGATTTAAATGTTTTGGTTCTTTTTTGCTTACTCAGTTAGTAATCTTTTGTTTCATAAAAATAGAAATTTATTTTAAATCTGGTCTTTGATGCTAAACATTACTTTTATGTAAATGTAATTAGTATATATTGGTTGGTTTATAAATACTATACTTTACCAATTTGTCAAAGTTATAACAGTTTAAAAATAGATCTTATACAGTTGGTTTTAATTTTGTATTTAATACACAAGTAAGATTTTAAAACTTTATTGGCGATTATAATTAAATTGTGATTACAAAACTATACAAAATAAGTGTGACAAATGACTTTTAAAGTTTCTCAAATGAATGAGCTGCTTTGAGAAATCTTTGAATGAGCTGCTTTGCAATATTTTAACTTAATTTTTGATTTTTTTTTTCCTCTTAAATTAAGTTTTTTTTGTTTGTTTGTCTTTTGTCAAAATCTGTTTCATATTAAGTTAAGTTTTTTTTGTTTGTTTGTTGTTTTGTCAAAATCTGTTTCATATCCAGATATCAAATCCAAATATCAAATTTTATTTGTACATAAAACCAAAGTTTGTTTTGTTGTAATTTAATATTTATTTACAACATGACTTATTGATAAAAAATGTTTTTTAGTTTGAATTCTTTTGTATGTATTATTTTTAAAAAAATTTTAAACAGTTTTGATTACACAGTTACTTATAATTAATATATGATAAATTTATTTTGATATAAGTTAATACATTGCAAGTTTTCACTTAATGTGCATTATTATAAATATTCCTAAACAAAAAGAATCCACAGTAAATCCTCTAATATAAGTTATGAATCCACAGTGAATCCTCTAATATAAGTTATGAATCCACAGTGAATCCTCTAATATAAGTTATGAATTCACAGTGAATCCTCTAATATAAGTTATGAATCCGCATTGAATCCTCTAATATAAGTTATGAATCCACAGTGAATCCTCTAATATAAGTTATGAATCCACAGTGAATCCTCTAATATAAGTTATGAATCCACAGTAAATCCTCTAATATAAGTTATGAATCCACAGTGAATCCTCTAATATAAGTTATGAATCCACAGTAAATCCTCTAATATAAGTTATGAATCCACAGTGAATCCTCTAATATAAGTTATCTGGACAAAAATATTTTCTTCTACATTTCAATTATTCTGATTATAAATGGTTGAAATAAATAATACTTTGTTGTTTTTTGTTAAAACTTTGGGTTTAATAACTTATAATATTAAGAAATATTTATAATGAAAAATTGAAGTACAAAATAAAAAATATAATCAAAAAGCAAGCATACATAAAATTACACATTCAATTATCAGAAAACATTTGAATTCTCAGAATCGGATTTTAAACATTAAATTGCAAAAAATATGCTATTGTATGAGTTAATACAATCAAGTTCATAAGTAAAAGTAATAGTTCAAAAGTATGATCAATAAAGATCAAGCCTCTACTGACAATTTAACGGTTCTATTTGTTACTAAGGGTATTGATAACTGGTCAAAAGTTATTAAGAGCATATTTAGCAAATCTATTATTAATTTATGCAAATTTGTATTTGCACAAACAGAAATAGAAACAGAATCTAAAAATTTAATTGTTTAATTAAAAAGTAACTGTTGTTTGATTTTAACTATTGATTCAATTTTTTTTTTTTTAGTAATTTATGATCTCTAAAAACTTTCTCATGAAAAAAGTCATTGTTAAAAATCAGTAAAGCATGTTTTGCATACATAAACAAATTGAAATGCTGCGAAAAAAGAACAAACTTATTAAAGACATCATACTTTATTCTAATAATTTAAATTTGTTTGAAAATAAAAAAAAATGTTATAACTTAAAAATTTTTTTGTTAATAACATTTTAAAATAACAAAGTTCAATTTTTTATTAAAAAGCATAGTTTATGAACGTTAAAAAGTTAAACTTTCTTGTTTTTGTTATGTAACTCACGGTAAAAGAATTTGTGTTAAATTTTTTGATGTCAGCTCACCCCTAATTTAGTTCATCTAAGCAAGGTTCCAGTGGGTAACAGTTAGGGAAAAATTTTGTTTTTATTTGTAACTCTCAACCCTAAACTTCAAAAAATCTTGTTAAATAAGGTTGCTGCAGGTTGAGCCTACTTTCAGAAGTGTAAGGCAATCTGAACTTCAAACCTTTTGATTGTAAGTCGAGTCTTCTATATCTACTATAGCATAAAGTTATATAAGTTGATAATTTTTTTGTGAGTTTTTTTTTAAAAAAACAGTTTTTTTTATGTAAGCTCACCTCCCCAAGACCAAGAAGGCCACTACAGTCAAGGAGGCTATTTTAGTTGTGGTTACAACACTTTCTCAACTCATTTACTCCAAAACACAAACTTTGACATACAAGGTCGCTGTACAGAGAAACAAATTGAGTGTCGTACTACTGGTTGAAATTGAATTCTGAATTTCTTGCTTATGAAGCGAGCACTTTACCACTACACTACTATCGCAGTTTTAACAATAATAAATTTTTAAATATATTTAATTTTAATTCTTTTTAATTTACTGAAATAATTAATTTATCAGATTTAATTTATCATAATTTATTCCATTTATGCTTTGGTTATGTCTTAATTATTAAAATTTATTTAATATTAACTATTTAGGGGAAGTTCGTGTACCTAGGGCTGGATTTTTCAAAATTTCAAACTTGTCTAAAAATGGTGAAACCGATATGATCACATCTCTATACTAATTACTTTATTAATATAAGTATATTAAAAAAATATATAAAGGTCCGTCATGTAGAAGTGTTTAAAAATTAGTGTCCCTAGGTACAAGTAGCTTTTTTTTCAATTGTACATAGAGCCACTAGCTTATTGTACCTAAGGCCATTCTCTGAAAATTAGGTTTAACTTCATAATAAATTGGCAACAAAAATTGCAAATAAAATATGAATAAAATTTTAAAAGCAAGTCATTAACAACAAGCAATAAAAATACTTGTCAAATAAATATATAGAAAATAACACCATTCAGTATATCAAAAATTATCCTATATATATATATATATATATATATATATATATATATATATATATATATATATATATATATATATATATATATATATATATATATATATATATATCAAAAACTGTTTTTAAAATATATTAAAAACATATGTTTTAAAATTGTTTTGTTTTAAAAAAAGAATTAATATTTTTCTGGATTTCATTTTTTTCTTTATAATTAGTAAAAAAAGATTTCTTTTAATGTTCATAACTTTAAAATTGCTTATTTTATCAATATTTAAATCACATTAGTTATACCAGATAATTTAATTTAAAAATTTTAGAAATAAGTATGATGTTTTGGAAAAAAATTTATGGAAAATTTAAATAAAAAATTTTTTTCGTGCTTCTATAAAAAATAATCTGTTTTGGTTGTATGGAATACCTTTTTAAAAACAAATTATATTAAAATGATTTCATAATCAAAAATTTCTTTTAAAAATTGCAGTTAGTAGGGAGTTAGAGTGGTAGACTACCTCATTGAGTAGGGTTTTTTTTTTTAATATTCAGCATTAATAAGCCACGACAGATTATTGATGATGTGTATTATTAAAAAACAGCTGGAAGAAAATATCAAGAAAAAGTTGTGCACTTTTTTCATTTTTAGTTAAAAATGTCATTTTTTCATGCAGTAAAATATCAAATAGTAATTTTTATAAAACATAAACTTTTTAATTTTTATATTATTTCATTTGGACAGATTGAGAAACATTTTACCTTTTTTAAAAAAAAATTATAAATCCAGTGTTATATGATACACTTCAAGGGACATTTTTTTATATTGTTGTCTTTTAAACTGCTTTAATGCAATTTTGGTATGATTTGTGAAAATAGTGAAACTGCAATATTTTCATCCAGAATTCTTTTAAGTTAATTGTCTGACTTCTGTGCAAATGTTAAGCAAAATTTGTTTTTTTTATCATGTGGAATGAATAGGGGAGACTTGAGACAGTTGTTCAAATTCCATTCAAAAAAAAGTGGAGACAGTTGTTCAAAATCCATATAAAAAAAGAATGGTTAATAAAATATAGTTTTCCAACAAGTCAATGCAAAAAAAAATCAGATATGAAGTTATGAAAATTGATTTGATTGAATCTTGTTTAAAGAGTATGTTAAGCAAAAAATAAACTGAATTTCTACAAAATTCAAAGTATGGTATCAAAAACTTATAATTTAAATGTTGAATTTTTATATATTTGTTATAGTTTGCAAATGTGTCTATAGAGATGAGACACCAAGTATCTTCATTTGAATTTATTGATTCAAACCCAATAGTTTAAATGTGATATAATTTTTTATATATATTTTTTTTTACATTTTGATACATTAACTACACCAAGAATTTTTAAGTTTAATAAATAAAATCTAATACTTATTTGAACAAAAATTAAGGAAAACCCAATAAAATTTAGGTGCACCTATAAAAATGAGACAGATAAAAATAAAAAAAAATTATAACAATAAAAACGTTATTGTTATTTAATTAATTGTAACTTTTAAAAGTTAAAACAATAAAAACGTTATTGCTATTTATTTAATTGTTACTTTCAAAAATTATAATAACAAAAACGTTATTGCTATTTATTTAATTGTAATTTTCAAAAATTATAACAATAAAAATGTTATCGTTATTTATTTAATTGTAACTTTCAAAAATTAAAACAATAAATTTTTAAGTAGTGTATTTTTTATCGATACAAATTTTTCAAATTAATTTTTTTATCAGTAAAAAATGAATCTGAAGGTGTTGATGGTGTTGAAAATGGTGTTGATGGTGTTGAAAATGGTGTTGATGAACATAGTTTAAAAAAGACATATAAAGAAGAAGATATTAAACTCAAGTATATTTATATATTTTTTAATTCAGTTATCTTTTCAGAAATTTTGCTTATAATAATTATTTTGATTTTTAGGCTTACTTCAGAGGAGCAAGAAGAGATAGGGCGTGTATGCAAAAGGATGATTGATTTTGGTCGCATTGAATATGTCAATTTTCATGGTTACAATGCTGAACTTGTTCATTACATAAGCAATAGTATTACACCAGAAAATATTGCTTTAAAAATAACAAAACACTAAAATAGGTTTTATAGTATAATTATAATGACAACTAGTATTCATATGGTTGTAAAATATTTATTCTTAAAAAAAAAATGATTTCTGTGTTGTTGATTAAACTTATTTAAGATTATTTTAAATAAAAATTTTTATCTTTCATTTTTCATATTTCAAAAATTAAGCTAATTTTTTATATTTTATACATTTTATATGTTAATTTATTAAAATCGAAACTATCATTGTTACCATACTCAATGACTAACTTTTATGTTGTTAGTGGTGATGGTAAAATGCTGTACTATTACCACTAACAACATAAAATACTGTACTATCACTGCTAACAACATGAAATGCTGTACCATCACCACTAGCAACATTTTATGTTGCTAGTGGTTAAAATTGTTTAATTTTGAATATTCACTTGACAACAAAAATTATGCTGTGATTGACAACATAAATTATGTTGTGATTGATAATGTTTAAAAGTGACCTCAGGGGTAACTTGTGATTTGTATTGTAGCAGCGTAAACTTCATGTATTGTCTTGAGTTTTCTTGAGACCTACTCTTTTAAAGTTGGTCATTTTTAGGTCTTGCAGGTTAGCCATGCTTCCTTATAAATCCTAAAATATCCTAATATTTATAAAACCTTCTAAAAAGACCTAATTTCTCCTAAAATATACTTGAATTTCAAAAATACCTCTTAAAATATCATAATTTAAACCTGTTTTTTGAACTTTAAAGTTTATTTCGCACATTTAACTCCAACTTTCAAATTTTTTAATAAAATTTTTGAATGGTATTTAAATTTTGTTAAAATTTTTTTTTTTTTATTTTCCTAAATAATCCTAATTTTTTTTATTCGCTTTTCCAAGTTTGCTGTTAAAATTCTAAAAAATCCTTTAAAGTCTCCTAAAATCTCAAGTTTAGTGCTCTCTTTCTAATTTCTAATTTAACTCTGAAGCCAAATAAAACTGTGTGGAGAAACAAGTTTAGTGCTCTCTATCAGGGACATAGTGGAATGGAATAAGGTAAAAGGGTATGGTGGAATGGTAGCTTTATAATGATACCTTATTGAACACGGGTTTGTATATGTATTGTTATTATACTATATATATATATATATTTTCAATCATTGAATGTATTAAGGTGATTTGAAAAAAAAATTATTTTGAAATAAATGAGTATCATCTGAGTGTAACTCAACCAAATAATCAATTAAACTGTAATCAACCAAATAATCAAGTAAACTGAAATAAAATAAATGATTATCATCTATGAGTGTAACTCAACCAAATAATCAAGTAAACTGTAATAAAGAAGATGAGCATTTGAATGGTTTGTCTGTTAATATAAATGAGGTAATATTCATTTTATTTTTATTAGTAATATATCATCACTATATAACTAAATTATTAATAATAATAACAATGGTCCTTTTTTTTTAAGGTTTTAAATAAAATATAATTTAAAACATCTCTGCATTATCTTGGACCTTCCTTTCATTAAAAATTCAAAAAAAGTGAAATTATTTGCTTGCTTATATCTAGTTTATTTATACTAAAAGAAATTTTCTTAGATCTTCATTTTATCAAATGAAGGTTTCTTGGCCATTTCTTTTCATTAAAAATTCTTTTCTTTTTAAATAATAAAAATTTGTAAAAAATAAAGTTTTATTCTAATTTGCTATTGACTGACTTACTTTATTTAAATTGTTTGTAAAATCCAACCAGCTTTTTGTATTTTAGTAACAACTCGTTTCTCCGCGCAGCGGCCTTGCTTGTCAAGGTTCGTGTTTCGGAATTATAGAGTTGAGAGAGGGTTATAACCACAAATAAGTAGCCTCCTCGTCTGTAGTGGCCTTCTCGGCCTTGAGGAGGTGAATTAAAATAAAAAAAAAAAAAAAAAAAAAAAAAAAAAACATATATTATATTTGATTTGGTATAACAATAGTTTTACTGAGTATGTTTAACAAAAATACAAACAGTTGGTTGGATTTTGCAAAAAAAAAAAACAAAAAAAAAACTTAGTAAATGTGTCATTAGTTGACTAGAATAAAATTTTCGTCTTTTTTACAAGTTTTTACTTATAAGAACAAGTTGGTTTATGTTAAAAAATAAATATAAGAGATCAATGGAAGGATTTTTTCTTTTCACAAAATAACTTCTGTTAAAAAGGTTGGAATATTTTTGAAAAATTTTTTTATTTAATTATTCGGGTTTTGGATCTCAATGTTATATTTATATGATTTTATTGTTTTTGTTAAATTCCTCATTTAAAAAAAAAATTCTGTATTTCTGCTAAGTAGCTTTAACCATAATAAACTGTAATAAAGTGATGTGAGGGTGATGAGGGTGCATTAAAAATTGAAAGGTGCACTAAATATATAGATTTATTTTGATTTAATTGATTGTATGGTAGATGTCAATTTTAGAATCAACTCATCGTTTTAAAATTAACTTTAATTTTTAATTAATTTTCATTTTTTTGGCGATGACAAATTTTTATCAGAATTTTTTTTTTTTAATTAATTTAAGAAAATTTTTAAATAATTTTTTATTATTTTCTGCAACAAAATTTTTAAATATTTATCAAATTTTGATACAAAAATGTTAAAAATTGATTTTTGATAAAATTTTTCATATTAGATAAAAACCCAACCTGAAACAAAAAGAAGAATGCCTTCTGATCTTCAACTTAAATTAGGTATGTATATTTGTGGAAGAATGTGTATACGTGTATGTAAATAATCTAAAAAGTCATTGATTTCTTTGACAAACCCAAAAGCCTAAAAATAATTTGCATCAAAAATGTTAAAGTAGAGTAGTCATCAATGGTCAAAAATTCTTTTAAATGATGAAAACAAATTTATACTGTTCGAATCAGATTTATGTTAATTCACCTCCCCAAGGCCAAGAAGATCAATACATTCAAGGAGGCTACTTTAGTTGTGGTTACAACCCTCCATAAAAAAAATAACCTATAACTCCAAAACACAAACCTTGACAAATAAGACCGCTGCGTCTCAGCGCAGTGATGGTTTGTCAAGGTTCACGTTTTGTAGTTATAGACTTTAGAGGTTTTTAGATCAAATGTAATGTGAATACCAGTGCACAGTGGGCCAGATAGTGGACAAAACTGTTATTAAAAATGTAAAAATATAAGAATTTTTATTTCGTATATTGTTGCTAAGTCTCTAACTAACTAAATTAAAATTATATTACGTTGATTTTTAATTTTTTTTACATCAGATTAGGTTTAGAAGCGCTTTAATTGCATCGCTGTTATTTTTATGTTAAAAATTGTAATTTTTATGTGTTTTTTAAATTTAATCCATTTTACTTTTACAACATTTAATTTAAATAATTCTTGTAAATCTTTATTAGTACATCAATAATTTAAAGTTTGATGCAAATATTAATTAAATGATGTATTTATTAAAGTTGGCTTTCGGTAATTTATATTGTATACTCATTTTACTCAACTATTCATGAAAAATTAGTTGAAAATGTTCTAGAACTTTTAAATGATGGCGACTGACATTTAACCATATAGCCTACATAATGTGTATATCTATGAAGAATAAAAGTATGTGTTTTTTTTTTTTTGCAACTACAACTGCAATATCTATTTTAATGGTGTATACTTAGCAAAATCTGTAATTGTGGCACCGGTTTTTATGTCAGGAAAGGGGGAAGGTTTTTTTTTCAATATTTTATATTATTTTTACAAAAATTTATATTATATTTTATAATAAAGTTCAAAAATAAGGAAAAAAGTTTGAAGAGAGGAGGAGGGAGGGGTGCAATGCACAGCAGACCAGAACAACTATTTTTGAAGAAAAACTAATATAAAATTTAACCAATATTTTTATATAAACTAAATTTGGAATTAGTAAAAATTTAAAGTCTCCGTTTCGAGGGATATTTTTTTATTATTGATTGCTATGGATACCTCATTTTTTATAGCAAAAAGCTTTTTGTTGTCATGTTCAGTTTTATTCAAATTCCATGAAATACTCCTTATTTGCGCGAATGTTAAAAACTGTGAATTTAATATATTACAATAAACTTTATCTATAAATTAAAGTATCGTAAACCAGTGGCTTAGAAAGGTCAAGAAATTTAGGTAGACAGAAAAAAAAATAAAGGGGCCAGAATTAGAACTAGAATAAAAAATGGAAGTTTTAGGTTTGTTGGGGGTGGGGGGCAATCATCCCATTTGCCCCCTGTTTCTACGCCAGTGTGGTAAACATTATTTACATTTATAGCAAAGATAATACATGGTAATTGTAAATTATTTATAAAACACTGCACTGTAGCTATACCAACAATAATTCAAATTAAAATAACAAAATTGTTCTAATAAAAAATGTAATAGTTGAATTGCTTCATGGGGAAGTTAAATTTTATTAGAATTTGATAATGGTTTTCTCAAACTGCTAATATATAGATCAGATGAATATAGTATTTTTCTTAGTAAGTCTTCATTATTCTCCACTCTGAATATTTTACGACTACAATGTTCACGATTTTTTTTTAAAGTTTGTTTGTTGCTTCTTGAGCTTCTTCTGATAACATGCCTATTTGGTGAGACATTCTTCTTATAACTGAATGACAATGAAAAAGAATTTTATGAATACTTGCTGGCAAGTAATACCATGGAAATAAATTTACATACGTGCGAGCAACTTGTAAACAATACTCTTGGAATTTATCAACATCAACATCTAGACCACTGGATAATGTACATAGGATCACAAAGAAGTTGTCAAGAAGAGTTTTTGGTAAACCAATTATGTTAGATACTTTTTCAGATTCCCTAAAGAAATGACGTGCAGTGTTGCCATCATTACTAGTGCCAGAGCCATTAGCTTTAGGCGTGTCAACAACCAAACCAAGTTCTTTAACTAATTTGCGATGAAATTCATTCTTCTTTTTTTTTACAGACTGTTTTTCAACAGCTCCATAAGCTCACCATTTCTTTATTTCAAATTTGTAGGCAACATGTAAAAAGCATTCCATGCACTTTATCCAGGCATGTAATGTTGACAAGCCGTACTTAAGTTCTGTTTGTAAATCGTAACTTTCTTTTTGATATGTATCAATGTTATTCATCTTTGATGGAGTTATTCCTTACACTGAGCAACATTGAACTGAGTTTTTTTTTTCAGACAGTGCATTAGTAACTATTCCATCTATCATGGTTAATTCTAATATATGTTGCACCGTTGAACCATTTCATAAAACTCAAGTTTTTGACTTTCAATAAACTGTTCCTCTGCTTTGATGACTTCATTTGTTTCTTTTAAATATCTAAACTTTATTGGTCTGCAAAACATTGTTGAAAAAGGATGAGTAATAAGCCAGATTACTTTTTTTTTCTGTACCAATAAATCCACTTAACTCTAATGGAATAAAGCAGGTAATAAAAAGGCTTCCTTCAATACTAAGATTGCTTACATCTTGATCTGGCACAAATTGTTTGTATATTGCCTGACCTGTTAACATCCCAAGTTTCCATATCTGGATAACATTGTTTTTTAGAATCTTTAACATTATTATATGCTCAATACAAGTTATTGTGGCCTTTAATTGCTGCTGCAGATATGTTATACTTATAAGTTGATATGCATTTTTAGTCAGCCCACAACCTAAAATTAAAGCGAGCGCTTCATCAGCTGAAAATGTTTTTGTGCCTGGTAAATTTCCTATTTTTTTACATTTTTTACTTGCAGCAAATAAATTATTTTTCTGGAGTATTTTCTTTTACCAAACTGCTTATTCTTCTTTGTTTTGTTTAAAATTTTAAAATAGAAAAGCCTAGAAAATGACGTAACTCGACTTATAATAATATTAAATTAGCGTATTCATATTATCAGATGAGTTACTAAAAAAAAATATAATTATCTTAAAAGCATTGCCTAATTTTTATAAACTTATCGGCAATGATAAATATTTTTTTGATAAACTTTTGATTAAATTATTTGGTCAAATACTTTTATTGTTTGAAAAACCACAAAAAAATATGTTTTCAATAGATGATGTGTAACTGCGACAGTATTAGTAACTTGAATTTATGAACTTGTTTTTTAAAGAATAAAATGCAATAGAACTTAGTTTACGTTTTTACAAAATAAAAATACTAGTTTTCATATTTTGATCTTTAGCTAGGTTTTTTAAAAATTTGAGTGATAAATATGTAAATTATTATAAACTATGCAAATTCATCATTGTGCATGTATCCCAAGAGAGGGATACATGCACAGTGGCCCAGGTAGTGGACAAAACCATTTTTTTCAAGTGTGGCAATTGATAAAAAATAAGAAATATAGAAAAATTAAGAAATATAAGTACCAAATATACTGTAAACAGTACAAATAAACACTACAACTAGCATAAAAAGGTTGTTGTTATGAAAAATTAGGTATCCATTGTAAACAAATAAAAGAAATACTACTTTCATAAGTATCATTGACTTATAAATACGCATAACAAGTATAGTAAAAATAGCATAAATAAAAAACCTGCAACTCCCTAAAATAACTTGTTGCTATGCAAATTAAGACATCCATAGCAACCAAATAATAAAAAAGTACCTTCAAAAAAAAACCAGACCTCATATTAGTACTCGTGCCAAATTTAATGAATATAGCACTAATAATAAATTAGTTATTAGTTTTGTCTCAAAATTTACTATTCTGACCCACTTTGCAGTGGTGACTGGTAAACAGTAAATAAAAACATATATAAAGTACCACCCCGGTAATTACTGCAGTATTATTTATTAATTACTTCAATAATTACTTCAGTATTACAGTATAACAGTAATTACTGCAGCATTACTTGTTATTTATTTCAGTACTACAGTGCCATGAGTTATGCAACTTTTAAAATGTTTATTTGAATTTAGTGATTTAAATTTGTTTTCAATATTTGAATTTTTTAGATATAATTATAATATGTTAATTAGAAATGCAATTACAGAAGTCAAGGCAAGCAAGAGCTAGCAGATCATATTATATAAAGTAAGTTAATAAAAAGCAAAATAATAAATATTAAAAACATGGCAATTTTATTTGTTTGCTTTATAATAGAGGTTTCTTCCCGGGAATTCCCGACCGAGAATTTTTTATATTTCATATTTCCCTTTGCTCGGAAAAATAGCCATAGTTTAAAAAATTAAAATCGAAGAATTACTTGTGTATATATTTATTATATTAAGATAGTAATTTATTCGAAATTAAAATATATTAATGTCCACAAAGCTATTTAATGTGTATAATCTGACTTTAGAAGCCTTCTAAAATATAGAAAAATGTAAAAATCAAATCATAATTATTTTATTAAACATGATTCAAAGCAAACATAAAAGTCATTATTTCTAATACAAAATGCTAAATGCTCCCCAGTGGCTTGTAAAACGTGATTCAAAACAAACACATAAATTTCGAATATAAAACGCTAGTTACTCTTTAAAGATTGTAATTAAATTTATTATTCAAGAAATTTGGGAACATTCAGTTCTCCATGTATTGACAAGTTAAGTAAGTTTCAAAATATTCTTACTATTTTTTTTAACCACAAAACTAATTTCTTTGTTCTACTATTTTTAATTTTTTTAAATTTAAAATCCCTGAAACATTGTTTTAATCATGGCTAAAATAAAATCACATAAAGAAAAAGGTGGAAAATCTAGTCTAACATTTGATGATTGGACATTTCAATAAGTTATTTATTAATCTAGGACTGGTAAAAATTCATGGAAGCATAATTCATACAGCTGAAGTAACTTCTTACTGAAGTAAACTTATAAAGTTCATAACTCTATAAGTTTAACAAGTTTCTCTTTAACTAGGTTAAATACCTAGTTAAAGAGAAACTATTAGAGTTAAACTATCAGAGTTAAATTAGCAATTATCTCTTGCGATAAAAAAAAACTCTTTAAGTCTCTCTTTAACTAGGTTAAAGAGACACTATCAGAGTTTCAAACTATCAGTGGTTAATGTAATGTTTCAAACTATCAGTGGTTGATGTAATCATTGGTTGCATCAACCACTGATGCGATCAGTGGTTGCATCAACCACTGATTTTGATAGTGTATTTAAAAAAGCTGCTTGGTGCCTTAACTTGCATACAGCCAACCTCATTAGAAAGCGAGAGAATATTTTAATGGTTGTTTAATTTTTGCTCTAGGCTGCCTAACAATTTTAAAAAGTTGTTTCCAAACCAAATAAGTTTAAAATATGTTTTGTTTAAGTAAAATTCATTTTTCTCAATATATGTAATACAAATTTTAATTATGCATACTAGGGTGGAGCAATTTTCTAATCAAAAAAAGACTTGAATCGATGTCTATTAAATTATATGAAAAGATTTAAAAAATATTTTCCGATTTTGATGAGCTCTTCAGTTTCCTTTTTGGATTTCTAAATTAGTGACAGGTCCTAATATTTTTGATTTTTTTTTTTCTAAACCATATCAAACTTGGACTCAAAAAAAGTAGAAAAAAATCCATTTAAATAATAATTTTATTATAAATAAAAAGTTTTTGCAAAAAAAGTATTTGCAAAAAAATACCTAAATACACCTCGTTTTGTTAAATATGGGAGTTTCTTAAGAAAAAAGTGACTATTTTTTATTCCTTTATTTTTAAATAAAAACATTATTTATTTTCAAAATCAGTATATTTTTCTGCTTCTTTTGAAAAAAATTTAACAATATTAGGACCCGTCAAGAATTTAGAATCCAAAGAGGTATCAAATATTTTTAATATTGCTCCACCCTAATGCATACATATTCAAATTTCGTATATACAATTTTGAAATAAAATATCATTTTAAAAATGAATGTTGTTTTATTAAAAGTTAGTCTCATGTTTATTTATTTTAAGAAAGGATTTATTCCCAGGAATCTGGGAATTTATTTTTAAATTTCCTGCTTCCCGGGATAAAAAAAATGTCAGAAATTGATACCCTCTACTTCCTAAGCTTTTTCATTAAAACTCATTAATCAATCCACATAATAAAACAACCTATAAATTGAATTGAAGTCTGCTTTCCTATAATCGTTTATAAAGATTTTATTTTATACTTGTGAATCATAATGAAAATGAAATCGTAATAATAATAAAATTTATAGATGTCGTAAATAAAATAATGTAATAAATCAAAAATATATTAATATGTTTGAAAACTTTTCTAATTTCATAAATTTCAAAATGTTTTAAAGCGTGATCTGATTCTTTAAAAATATATAATATAAAATAAATTTTTACTCAAATAAAAACCATTTATTGTGACAATGACAATGCAATTTTATCAAACCAGATTTATTAGAACAATTTTTTTAGTATTTAAACCAAGTTTTCATTATCATTATGTAATTTTTTTTATTAACTGCTCAGTAAAAACATTTTTTAGTTTTGTTTTTTGAAAGATTTTTAAATAATAATTTTAATGACATTTTATATTTTATTGTTGAGTCTTAATTAGACTTTTAAAATTTTTAACAAAATTTCTAATATTTTAACAAAACAAAATCTTTAATTTCTAACATTTTAAAACAACTATGTGACATAAATTAAAACTAATTCAATTTAAAAACATAATTTCTATAGATGTTTTAAAAACGTAAAATAAAGTCGTTGTTATAAAAAAACACAAAATAAAGTCTTACTTTAAAATAAAGTACTCTTTATAAATATTTTATTATTTGTCAGCATTTTTATCTTGTAAAAATATTGAATATACAATAAAAATAAAGACCAAGACAATTTAAATTTAGTATATAATGTTAATTATTGTAAATCTTATTTAATTTCAGTAAATTTTCGGAAAAAGATCAACAAACAGAGAAAGTGCCACTTATTTTAATAGATCAGAGGTAAAAAAAATTGAATTTTATATAATATTACTATAATATAAGCTACATGAAAGTGAGTGGATTTGGGCAGGTACTGTTTATATGAAGAAGGACATCTTAGCAAAAAGAATTTCACATCTAGCTTAAACAAAAAAGCTAGTTTGCAGATTGAATATGGTTGCTTCATATGAAGCTTTTTTTGATAGTCCTCTAAATCCCTAACCATAACCTGGGTTAACAGAAATAAACAAAAAAGTGAATTTGAAAATAGCAGATCAAAACTTCATTAATAATTTTTCTCTTTATCTCAAAATACAAGCCTTGACAAACAAGAAAAACAAAATTAGCATCATACTAGTAATTAAATAAAAGTTTAATTATTAGTATAAATTATAGTTTTCTACCATAAAATAGCTTAAGTTCAGTCTCCATGTAACTTCAATCATTTAAGAATTTTAATTTTTACAAACTTTTTTTTCTTGAATAATATTTGTTGTCACCTAGTACATAAAAATCATTAAAAAAATGTAAAGGCTTATCTGAAATCTGTAGAAATAATTTGTTTACAAAACAAGAGTTTTGAAATGCAAGCTATTGAAATCAAAAATAAGCAAAGGTTTGAATAAAATTATCAAATTTAATACTAATATTACTAAGAGTCACTGTAAAAGGACATTGTAAAGGTTGCCAGCAGTTACACATTGGAACAATTATGTTGGAAACATTAGTTAATATTTGTTTATTGTGTGAAATAATAATATTGGTGATGATAGGGAGACAGCTATAACTGATTTTTAAGTAATTTCTATTAAATATTTTGCGAAACTTAAGTGTTTTTGGAAGATGTTTTTCAATTAGATTTTTTGCAATGTTATTTCTTACATTTTGTGAAAACTGAGGGTTAAACCAAATAATGTTTTGTAATCTTGATTTTTCATTATATCCACTAACTGCTAACACATTGTTATAAAATGGTGTTGCTGTATCAAAAATTTCCTTGTGACTTGCTAGAAGAAATATTGTTAATATGGTTGGATATCATAATTGGTATGGGTTTAATAATGTTAGGGGATAGGTTGATTAGAGGGTTAGTAGTCAGAATTGGCAATGATGTATAATTGGTAATAACCTGGTTTTCTGTATAACTGGAAAGTATTTTCTGACAGGTTGAAGGTAACATCAAGAAAGTTTGGATTTTTCAAGTTGATTTTTATTGTTAGTTTTAGATTAAACTTCTCCTTAAAAAGATGAATGCAGTTTTTTTTTATTATCTCAGGTTGTGCTCCATTGATCCCATAAAAACAGCTAAGGCCATCATCTCTATATAATTCAACAGATTGCAACCCATAGTCTTGACTTATATTATGAAGAGTAAAGAGACCAACTAACTCACATAGAAAGCAGCTTTATTGAAACTTCCCATAGTGACGTTAAAATCCAAGTTTTTTGAAGAAATATTTTGTATCATTTTGTACTTAAATTAAGGTTACAATATATATATATATATATATATATATATATATATATATATATATATATATATATATATATATATATATATATATATATATATATATATATATATATATATATCGTAATTCCTATTTTTCAAGGCATAATAAAAGCTTTATAGAATTTTTTTTATGAAATGTATAATTTTTCTTTACCAAATCATCTAGTTTTATCTGTTACATAATGATTACAAAGTGTTGACTTATGTTGAAAAAAAAAATTTATGTTGTATGTAATGAGTTGTAATGTTGTTTTATAAAGTGTTTTAAAAAATGACTGTCTTCTTTTTTGAATTAACATATAGCATATATAGATGCTTTTTATAGCATATATATTATATATATATATAGCATATATATAGATAAACATTTGCTAACTGCTTTTTATAATTTTACATAAATTTTATATTTATCAAAATAAAAAGTTATTATAAAATAAAACTAGTATTGTCATAATTTAAATTAAGGATTTAATACAAATTCAATAATATTGTAATTAATAATGTAAAGTTATTTGACTTTTTATATGATGTTTAAGTTTTTAATTATAAATATCAAAATATACAAACTTTCTTAACTTACAATGTATAAAAAATGGAATGTATTACTAATCAGGTCAGGTTCAGTATTACCACAATCACCCTGCTACTGGCAAAATCTAATCCAGGACAACCTGTCCCATGTTTTATTTAATTCTCTTATCTAGAAAAGGCTAAGAGAAGTAAACTCTGACTTTAAATACTCCTGCTATAGGGTTGAGTAAAGACAAGAGATATTGTTTAAATTAAAACCTTGGGAAAATTTTAACTCCACCAAACTATTGTCTTGTAAAAGACAATCGAGGCAAAGACTTTACAGGTAAGACAAAAAACATGCTGACCATCCAAATATGTTGCGTTGTACCTTGTCTTCATCTATAATACTAGCATAGATGTAAACCTGTGTTACACTATTTTCTTGGGTGATGAATTGGTCTTTTTTGACTCTTCATGAGTTTTTGTTTGTGCTTTTAAGATAGTGGTTATGCAACTTTTTCTCTTGTATCCTAATGAAGGTACTGCTCTAAAACTCAATCTAATGGTTCTGAGGTTGGTTGGTAGTAAGGTTTTCTGAACTCTGTGGTAGCTCTTAGAGAAGCTGATTCCATTAACAGCTCTAAAAGCAGAGTATTGCATGTATAGTGTCCCTGTTAATATTTTTGGTGTGGATTGTCAAGGTCACATAAGGAGCCCTTTGTTACAACTGTGTCACAGGACTGAGGCGACTGCAAAGCTTATTGCATGTCATGATGATGTCATGACATGTCGTGCACTATCTTTGATTGAGTCGAGTTCTATAATAATTTAAAACATAAATAAAGTATTAAAAAATGTTAAACATAAAAAAAATCACCATCATCCAATTGTTTCAATCTATCTTTTGCAAATGTTTGTGGTCTTCAAATAACTTTCCATCAGTTTTATTTTATCATCTGCAAAATTTAAACTTGTTTTTTGACTAATTTGAGACTAATTTGAGTTTAATTTGAATTCTTTGAGGCTAATTTGAATTTGATTGTTTTATCTTCGGATAAAACAACTGAAAGTGTTGATAGCTATTACCCCTAAATTCACAAAGGCTCCAGATAAATGGAGATAAGTAGTCCAGACCAGATGCTTGACTAGGGCATTCTTGTATGTTCTTCCGTTTAGCACTTACAATCACTTTTTTCTTTGTTTTTTATCATTCTCCTTCTTCTTTAGACTGCATTCTTTTTCATGTTTTTTCAACAGTGTCATTAAAAAAGGTAAGTTACCATTCTCTATTACATAAGACTTCTCATAATACCTTTCTCAAGGATAGGCATAACTATTTGCATAGAAGATTTTTTCTGGTTTTGAATTTAATGGCTACACTCTTCCTCTTATTCTAATCACTCAGGCTTTTTTTGTTAATTTTTTTTTTTCCTTGTTCCTGTATGGAACATGTTGTCATATTTGGGCTGGTTCTTCTAAAGATGCCATTTCTTTTCTTGACAAAGCCCAAAAATGTATTGTAAATACAGTTAAATCCACTCTTTCTGCCAAGCATGAGCCACTATCTTATCATCTTAAGGTTGCATCTCTTTCTCTTTTCTACAAATACAATCATGGTTGCTGAAACAAAAGAGCTATCATTTCTAGTTCCATCATCCAAAACTCATTCTTGTTTGACTTGTCATTCAGCAAAGTTACTTCTCTTCATCTGTTCAATATAAAGTATTTCAAGTCTTCTGTCAAATTAAATGTTTTTAACATTAAAACATTTTTAATGTTTTAGTTCAAAAATTTTATTTTGTTTCTTTGTGACTCTTGTTCTATTTAAATAAATGTCTGTATTTTTTTACTATTTTTATTTTTTACTGACTGATAAGGTTTAATTAAGTAGTTATAAGTTATTTTATTAATTTGATTAGTAAAAAAGTTTAGTTTTTGACTATTAGTAAAAAGTTAAATAACAAAAGTTAAAAAGCTCTGAAAAAATGAAGTTTACTGTAGCAACGAAGTTTGCTATAGCAACAAAGTTAAATTTAAAGGTGTTCACTTTTTTTTTCAATGAAATTTATTTAAAGATATAGGTTTTATATTTTATATAGTAGCACAGAACAGCAATATAAAGTTGGAACATTTCAAAGTTCACCAAGTTATCAAGTAATTTTTTGATTATTTGAAATTGTTTTTCAAATATTATTTGTGAAAAGTTTTTTTAAATGTGTTTTTGTCATTTGTATTCAAAAAAATTTAGATATTTTTAAAATTTAAATAAAAAAATAATGTTTTTAGAATTACACATCTGACTGTTCTGATCAACTTTTAAAAGATGGTTTTAGGTAAATATAATATTTAATAAAAACAATATCTTGCTCGTTCAGAATATTCTATTATTGTTATTGCAATCTGAATTTTTTTTATTGTGTACTTGCTAACTCTAATTATTTTTGTATAAAAGTTTGTCATATCTGAGCTTGTTTTTAAAATATTTTTTGGTTTATTGTGGTGTTGAATTAGGAGTTCTTTGTTACACTTTGTTGGAATTAAAAATAAGGATGCTTAGTTATTATTTATTAGGTATGCTTAAATGTTCGGAATTAAAAATACGAATGCTCGATTTATTTATGGTATCAGATTTGAGTTATACTCTTTCTTTTTTGATCTGAAGCAAATTTTCACTTAAAAGTTATAAAATTCAGTAAAAATGTAATAATAAATATCAAAATATTTTAGTTTTATGTTTGGTGGAAATATTAATACTTTTACTTGTGGTAAACAAGATAGCAAGTTTTTAATTAAAAATAATTTGAAATTTTTATTTATAGTAATTTAAAATTCATATTATTGAATTAAAAATAGAGGAAGAATTCCAATTCTTTCTTAAAGTTGTTCAATATAGAAAAAAGATATATGGTCAATAGAAAGAGCTTCTACTATCCATATTTAGAAAGAGCTTCTACTATCCATATTTGCGCATACAAAAAAATAAAAATTAAATCTAAAATTAAGTTTGTTATGTTATACTGTTTGACTAATTTTTATTAGAAATTTATATAAGTTTTTATTAGAAATTTTTAAAGAAAACTAAAGTATTGTAACTAACTTTATAATAATGTATTTTTTTCATTTTTTTTTTAAACTGTGTTCACCTATCTAAAGGTTAAATCTACCTAAGGTCAAACCTATCTAATGGTTGAGACGGTTACTTTTTTTTTTTTTTAAATTGTTATTATAACCTTCTCTCAACTCTATGGCTATAGAAATATGACCTTGGCAAAAAAGGGTGTTTTACAAAAAAAACAAGCTTAGCATGGTACTACCAAGGTATTGTTGGGAATCAAACTCTTCTTGGTTAAGTGACAACTTGGTGTTTTATTGTTAAAATGAAATATAAGTAGTTATAATGGTTTTATATAATAATGATCTGTAACTTTAATTTAGACTTGATGAGCTCACTGATAATGAGGATTTAGACTTGCTTCCACATCCTACAGTCCGGTCAACTCCATGGTGTACTTGCGAAAATATTTCATGCAGTATTCAATAGTTTTTGTTCATTGATAATTGGTTGTAATAAAAACCTTTTTTATTAAACGCTTTTATATAAATATGTTTTTTATTAAAAGTTTCTTTATAGATATATTTACTATATTTTATTAAATGTTTCTATATATGTATGTTTTCTATTTTTGTTAAATGTTTTTATATAGTTATGTTTTCTATTTTTTATAAAATGTTTCTATATAAATGTCTACTATTTTTTTACATTTTGTTGTACATATAAAAAAAATTATTTTATAGTAAAGATTTAAAAATCATTAAATAAAATGTTAAAACTTTAAACTTTTATAATTTTTGTAATTTAAATTATATAACTAAATAGTTAAGTATTTTTTCTAATTAAAATTTATCATTATAATATCAAAAGATTTTCATATTTTAGTGTTTTTATTTAAAAAAAAAAAATGCTTTATTCAATTTAAAATAAGAGCAATTGTTTTTTTAGTAGTTATGGGAACTAATATTCCAAATAGTTATAGTGATAGGTTATGTTGTTACTTTGAACAAAATGGAGTTTGCAAGTATATGGAAAGTTGTAAATTTTGTCATAATAATACGGTTGTTAATTTTGAATCAAAAGATTTTGAGCAAGTAGTTGATGATAAAGATTTAAAAGTAACCCATAAAGAGGACTTAGATCAGTGTCAAACAGATTTTAAAGAAGAAGATCACAAAGAACAAACAGACTTTAAAGAAGAAGATCACAAAGAACAAACAGATTTTAAAGATGAAAATCACGATGATCATCTAGACAATCAAGAAGAAAATTTAAAGACCAAAAAAGACTTGAGAGAAAAAAAAATACACAAAGAGAAGCAAAAACAATTACCTAAAATAAAATGTCGATATTTTATTATAGGTAATTGTAAAAATGGCGAAATGTGCAGATTTGCTCATATGACTTATTCATCTGATTCTAAAAAAATTGAAGCTTTAAAAATTAAAGAGCATTCTGCTAATATAAAAAATGATCCTGGTTGTACTGAAAAGCATTCTGCTAAAATAAAAAATGATTCTGGCTCTACTAAAAAGTATTCTGCTAACAAAAAAAAAGTGTTTCCTAACAAAAAAGAAGATTCTGATAACATAAATAATGATTATAATAATATCAAAGAAGGCAAAAAGAAGAATATAAAAGAAGGCGAAAAAAAGAATATAAAAGATGGGGTTAGTATTATAAGTGATTATTCTGATGATACAGTTAAAGAATTTAAAATTATAAAAGTGGAGACAAGTACAATTGTAAAAAAAAGTAACGCAGTAAAAAAGTTACTAAACTGTAAACATTTTATGTCAAAAAATGGATGTAAACATGGTAACAAATGTTTATTTAAACATTATCGTTCTACCAGTGATGCTGCTGATGAGCCGTCTACCAGTGATGCTGCTGATGAGCCATTTGCCAGTGATGCTGCTTATGAGCTATCTACCAGTGATGCTGTTGACGTGCTGTCAAAACTCTCTAATGAAATCAAACATTGTTCTACTAATGATGCTAATAAAACATTAAATCACAGTTATACTGAATATAAAAAAGACTGTGTAAATCCATCAATTAGGATGCAAGATAGTAATAAGATTGTTGATTTTGCAACTGATGATATGTTATTATCAAATGTTACAAGTGATATTTCAAATGTTTGTAGTATAAATTCATCAAATGGTAACATGTTGATGTCTCCTATTGACAATATTTTACAAGTATCAAAAAATAATCCTTCAAATCCACAAAATGATTTAAATCTGCAAAATGATGATCCACAAAATGTTATTTCAAATTATGAAAGTTTAAAACCTTATGATAAAATGTTAAAAGGCAACAAATTAAAAAAATGCAGGTTTTATTTTTCAAACTCTGGTTGTAGAAGAAAAGATCTATGTAAATTTCTTCACGTAGATTTTAAAGGAAGAAATTTTGAAACTTTAGAAACAAATCCAATAGAAGATAAACTTAAACATTCTGAAAATCAACATGGTAATATAAAAAGTTTTGAAAACTTTATAGACTTTGAGAAATTACGAAGCACAGAACTGCTACAACTAGAAAAACGTTTCAAGAATAGTTTAAAGTCAAAACTTGAGTCAACTGATATTTATACTGTAACAATTGAACCATCAGATCCTGATTGGGTAAGTAAATTTTAATGTAACAAACTATTAGAACTATTAGGTAAATAAATTTTACTGTAATAATTGAGCATTCAGATTCTGATTGATCCTAAATTAAATTTTAGTTGTTCTTTATTTTAACATTGAAGAAACTAGAGTTCTTCCTGTGTAATTTTATTGTTTACAAATTCTTTTTAACATTGAAGAAATATGTGTTCTTCCTGTGTAATTTTGTTTACTAATTCTTTTTAACATTAAAGAAATATGTGTTCTTCCTATGTAATTTTATTGTTTACTTATTCTTTTTAGCCTTATATTGTCAAAGCATTTACTTTGAGTTTTAGTTTTCCAAAGGATTACCCACAAGAGGTAACATCAATAGTATTGTATCATTTACAATCATAAGATTTAAAAAAATTATAAAGTATCAAGGTTTTCTATTTTTTATTTTAGTTGTTTAAGGTTTGTCTTGAAAATATAGGAGGAGTATATCCAGATGGCTTTACAGAGTAAATACTATTTCATTTCATTTAAACCAATGTGTATGTATACATATATAATAATATGTTTGTATATATTAGAATGTATCATACTGTTTAATTTTTTTTTAATTGATTTTAAAAAAACTCAGCATATGGAAAACATGTTTACAAATATTTTAAACTTTAAACCAAAAAAATGAAGTAAATTAAATTTTTGTTAAGCTACCAGGAAGTGTTTTTAAAAATTAAAAGTTTGTGGTTAATTCATTGTAATTGGATTTAACCCTAACCACAAATACTGTGTTGCATCCAGGCATATTTTTTTACGCAAACATTTATTTACACCCCGACTCTTTAAATTCTATGTAATTTGAAAATGGTAAAAAAATTTCAAATCACATAGATTTGAAATTTATCAAAATTTTGAAACTAATTATTTTTATATTATGTAAAAAAATATTCCCTATTTTATTCAAATATAAAAAATATATTATACTTGAGTAAAACAGGTTTGCAAATATACCCTTCCCCCCTCTTTTTTATTAGATCTTTTTATACACATAGATATTATAAAGTTGTATTTTCTCGATAAAAGCAAAACATTGAGGCATGTAGAGTTATGAAGTTTTATAGATTATATACATAATATATATAAAGATATACACTAAAACAAATGAAAGGGAGAGAATTTTTAATAAAGTTTATTTGCCATTTTATAAAGCCTTTTGTTTATTAAATAGTTTTAAAATGTTTGTTAAACATGTGGCAAAGTGGTTAGCTTGCAACGTTTCTGAAGTGTATTGCCGTGGTTCAAATTCTACCAGTGCACTCTGTGTTTTGGGTTGCCCAAGATACAAAAATAAGTTGTCTCACATTTTTGAAAACTAAATTCTTTAAAATACTCAGATTATGAAAAATAATTTTTAATGGCCGTCCCTGAGATAATTACTAGTCAAAAATCCAAATAATTTTTAATGGCCGTCCCTGAGATAATTACTAGTCAAAAATAATTTTTAATGGCCGTCCCTGAGATAATTACTAGTCAAAAATAATTTTTAATGGCCGTCCCTGAGATAATTACTAGTCAAAAATAATTTTTAATGGCCGTCACTGAGATAATTACTAGTCAAAAATAATTTTTAATGGCCGTCCCTGAGATAATTACTAGTCAAAAATAATTTTTAATGGCCGTCCCTGAGATAATTACTAGTCAAAAATAATTTTTAATGGCCGTCCCTGAGATAATTACTAGTCAAAAATAATTTTTAATGGCCGTCCCTGAGATAATTACTAGTCAAAAATAATTTTTAATGGCCGTCCCTGAGATAATTACTAGTCAAAAATAATTTTTAATGGCCGTCCCTGAGATAATTACTAGTCAAAAATAATTTTTAATGGCCGTCCCTGAGATAATTACTAGTCAAAAATAATTTTTAATGGCCGTCCCTGAGATAATTACTAGTCAAAAATAATTTTTAATGGCCGTCCCTGAGATAATTACTAGTCAAAAATAATTTTTAATGGCCGTCCCTGAGATAATTACTAGTCAAAAATTGCCAATTGTTGCCAATTTTTTTTAAAAAAAGTTATGTTTTTGTTTTTCTTGCAGTGTTTCATGAATAATTTTTTTTTCTGTTAATTTATATCTTAAAAGTATCAAATTACCTCTTAAGATGCTCTATGAAAAAAACTTTTTTCTTTTTCAATTTTCATGATGTTGTAAAGTGAAAAAATAGTTTAAATTGTAATTTCCAACTTTTAAATAAAATTTGTATATTAATCTACTAAAATTTATAGTAATGGATTTTAGAACTAAAGAATTGTATTCAACAAAAAAAGAAAATATAAACAACACTTTACTATTCACAATTTCTAGAGTTTGTGTGAGTGATGGTAAAAGAAAACTTGATGAAAAAGTTAAATGGAGGTGAGTTGAATTACCAAAAATTTTAGAGAGATTTGTCAAGAAACATTTTTTTTGAAAAGAAACATGAAAAATGGTTAAATTAAAAGTTTTAAATAGACTTTTTATCATTGGAATCTTCAAAAACAACCAATAAATAAGAATGATCAAAAAAAGATTTTGAAACTGCTGTAGTTGTTTTAGACAAGCAACAGCAAATAGAAAATGATTTGCATTTTCTATTTGATGCTGCTTTTTTTTGGATTTACATCCAGTAAATATTGAATTGGTTAATAAAAACTTTGTTATTTTTGATTTAAATTTTATTTTGTGCATGATTGACAGAAAAGTTTTAGCAATTATAACAAACTCATCATCAATGCAATGCTGTTGTATTTGTAGAATTTCACTAACTGCAATGATGTGTTTGAAAAACCTTTTAAGTGTATTTACAGCAAAAAAAGGTAAAATTATCTATGGGATATCTCCATTTATGCTTGGATAAGATTGCTAAGAGTGTCTTTTTCATGTTTCATACTGATTTGAATTCAAAAAATGGAGAATATGCAAAAAATTATATGACAAATCATAAGACATCATATGACAACAACAAAAAATTCATCCAGCAATTAATGTTCAAAAGAAAGCATCTCAGAGTTGGTTTCCCTGCAATTAGTGGAGCAGAAACATCTACAACTGGAAATGTTTTCAGAAAGGTATTCTCTGACACAAAAGAACTAAGCCAAATATCAGAGATTGATGAGACAATTGTCGATATTTAGATTTGTATGATTGGTATAAAATGCTTTCAACAGTTAACAAAGTTTTTGCACATGGAACAGAATTAATGATAAACTTGTCAGTTCGCTTTAGAGTTGTAGACAAGGAAGCATCTAAATCCAAAACAAATATTAATAATGTCTTTACAAGTAACCTGCTCCAATAAAATAACATAATTAATAATAAATAGTATAATCAGTGGTTTGGCTAATAGTTTAGAGTCCTCCCCTAAAAAAACCAGTCTTTAGGGCCTAGAAAATCTTAAAAAACTTTCCTTTATTAGTTATTACTAAAGTAAAGTTTTTGATGTGCTATGTTATTGATGTGCTATGTTATTGATGTGTCATAATAAGTTGCAAATGGTCTGCAACTTAATAAAGAAAAAAATTAATAAACCTGTCCTGCTACACCAGAAGGTGCTGCTGTAAAGGAAAAAAAAGCCAGCAGCTAGCAAAAACTTAAAAACTTTATTTTAACAATTAAAAATTTTGCTATATTTTGTTTTTGTGATATATATATATATATATATATTTATATATATATATATATATATATATATATATATATATATATATATATATATATATATATATATATATTTATATATATATATATATATATATATATATATATATATATATATATATATATATATATATATATATATATATATATATATATACACAACCAGATTTAAAAAATGTTTTGTATTAAGGGGCAGATTTGAACCCTTGCAAAACAACAGTGCACTAAACCACTGAGCTATTGAAGTTATGTATGTAAGAGAAAAACAAACTATTTTATAAATCTGTTATGAGCTCTACATATGCGAAAAAGGTGCATATGCTAGTTTTTTTTGCTCGTTCTTTTTTTTGCTGCAATTCTTTTTAATGAATTATTTTTCTATCGTTGGCTAAAAAATATTGAAGTAAATAAAAAATAAGTATAGAAATTAACAGTGTGAAATATATAAGTATAGAAATGATTGGTTTGGTGAAAATCTGTATTTTATGGGTCCAGACAGCTAAGATATATATATAAGGAATAAGTATAAAAAAGGTCGGTGTGGAATAGACATCAGCATTATATGGGTCCGTTCAGTCTAAGTTATTATTGACTTAAATAAAAATATATTTTTTTTAATAACCAAAAACTTTTTTACTAAATTTTTTTTCATGTTTTAGATAAAATGAATAAAACTTAAAAATTTTTCAATATGGAAATGTATTAAAATAGATATATAATATTTTAATATATTTCCATATTGATATTATTCTTATTTATGGACATGTGAAATTTTTTAGCATTAAAACTTTATTGAAAATTTAATTTTAGATTTATGAATGAATTTCTTCAAGAATGGTTAGAAAAGAGGAGCAAAGATCATACAGTGACAGATCTTGCTTTCCGTCCTTTTATACGCTGGTTTGATAGAAACTTAGAAACACTGTTTACATCATCTGCTACCAAGGTTTCACAATGAGCATAAGATTTAAAAAAAAAATTGTTTACTTTTATTATAAAAACAATGGTATAAGATTGATAACTTTGTTTTGTGTAAAGGTACATAAAGGTTTTGTGTAAAGGTACAGAAACATATTTAAAAAGTTGTGAGTTGCTTAAAGAATTGGTTAAATTTTGGCATTATCATTATCACCATCATCATCAATTGTTTTTTATAATTCTCCATTTTTTTATCTTCTTATCTTTGTTGTCACCTATTAATCTTTTTTAGCCTTTAATAATTTAATCATTTAAACTCTGTTAATCGCTCTTTTTTAGTCTTTGCATCCAGCTTATCTGTATCTTTATGCTTTTAATTTAGTGTAATGATCTGATAATCTTGCTCTTCATGCTTTGTCTGCTCTACCAATCAAATAACATCCTAGGAAATGCTCTGAATTTCAGTACATAATTTAAATAAATTAAATAATGTTCTTAAAACTAACCATGCTTAAAAATTTTTAAAACTAAATATAAAGCTAAACTTTTGAATCGTTTATATAGAAAAACTCTAATGATAGCATCTACCTTGAAGAGCTTTCAAAACAACCACAAACATCAAAGTACTAATTACTAAATCATTATGCAATCCATTATTTTGTGTGTTGTTAGAAAATAAACTAATTTTAATATTAAACTTGTATTGATTAAGACTGTAATAAATTTTTCAATTTTTCTGTGGTTTTTCTTTTATAATAAAAAATAATTTTAATATAAAATATTAAATAGTACAAATGTTTCTACAATCTTAAAAATTTCTAGTGGATCATACTTTTATTGTATTTTATATTTATCATTATTTTTATATTTTTAGGTATTATATATATATATATATAATATATATATATATATATATATATATATATATATATATATATATATATATATATATATATATATATATATATATATATATATATATATTATTGTATAATAAATATAGTAATATATTTTTATATAATATATTATCACATATAAATATATAATAATATATATTTTTTTGTATGTAGGTTAAGCGGCAACAGGATGCTCTTCGTGCAGGTTTAACATTTATCCCACATAATAAGATTCTTGGAAGCTCAAATATTTTCAAAAGTGTAAACTTACCTTATGAGACACCAGAAAAAAATGTTACTGATCATGAGTTAATAAGTAATGAAGATATTACACAAAATGATTTCCAATATAATGACACTATGGAGAATCAGTTCCAATATAATGAAAATATGGAGAATCAGTTTCAAATAAATTATAGTGAGTCAAATTCTTCTCAAATAAAGAAAGGTGTTGAAGTTAAATTTCCTAAAATGTCAATTATGAATATTGGAACACTAAAGTTAACAGATTTAGCTTTGACCATTTGCTGTGATAGATGTAAATTAAGAACAGATGTCAAGTTAAAAGATCAAGTGTAAGTTTTACTTTTAAATGTTTAAGCTTCAAATAAATGTTAGTTACGAATAATCATGGTATTAAGAATAATTATTCTTTATTATCAGTTTGCTTGTAAAGTTATTAAATAAAATTAGATTATCACACAGAGAATCCAGGAAAAAAAAATCTGACTATTTTTGCTATTTTTCTATATTATTTTATTGTGTATTATACTGTTTCAACAGCTTTTGATGATGTACTTTTGATTTTTATTTGAAATTGCTCCTAATTATCATAATATATTAATTTAAAATCTATACATATATAAAGTATAATTAAAATCTATACATACATAAAGTATAACTAAAATCTATACATATGTAAAGTAAAATTATTTAGATTTATATAAAAAAAGCATGACATCATGACTTTTGATTGAAGAGAGAATTTGAATGGTAATTTTATTTGCGAAATTTAAAATTTTTTAAGAGGTTAGGGGGCAATGAAAAACCTCCACATGAGAAAATGATTCGATATTTGATTGACAAGTTTAGGGAGAAAGGCATTGTTCAGAATCAGGAAAGATCTGGCCACTCTTATTTTATTGTTACAGAGGAAGCCATTCAAAATGTTAGAGAAATGGTTAAAGCAACTGATAATTTGTCGATTCCAAAAGGCACCACCATAATGGGGATGAGCATCAGCAACTATTATTTTGTTATTTGAGAAGTAGTCTTTCGACCATTTAAACCAACTACAGCATAAGAACTAAGTGAAGTTGGTTTTGAAAAAAGAATTGAGTTGTCTCAAAAAAAAAAAAGAATCATTAAAATATAATCAAAAATTTACAAAATTCAACAAGATTATTTGGTCAGACAAAAATTATGCTGAATGGTATTATAAACCATCATAATTGTAGCTGATAGGTCTGCTCTACATACAAGCAAATACCTATGACTAGCCTAATAAATTTAGTAATGGTGTGGTGTGAAATAACTTCTGGTGGTCTAACTGGCCCATACTTTTTCAGTAATTTGGTCACAGGCACTTTATATTTACAAATGCTTAAAAAGTTTTTATGGTCTAAAGTTAAACAATGTGGTATGTAATTTCAACAAGATAGGTCATCAGCCTAGTCCAGTTAAATGGCTTGCTTGTTTACCTGATATTTTTTCCTCCAGACTTTTTTTTTAGGGACTATTTTTAAAATATTGAATACAAGCACGGGTGTGGAGTTATAAAAAAAAAAGTACCAATTCTAACTTCGATTCCAATCATTGAAATTTTCGAGTATGACTCCAACTCCAACGTTAAAAAATTTTTTGTTGACAATATATGAAAAATTTTTTAAAAGTTAAATATTTTGTACATGCACTTGCAATACCAAGAAGTTTTACTATTGGAGTCCCAATTTTGTTTGGCGACTTTGACTCTGCTGCATGTGTTGCGACACTCCAACTTTGTGAGTGAATTGAGGTGTGTAGAGACATAAATTTGTGTATAAGAGCCTGTGAAAATGTAGTGATTTTGTTTGAAACACTGCCAAGAACTAGATGGTAAACAAGTTGAAAAGCTGCATATATTATTTTTTTATTTTGATACTAGTAAATAAAATTATAAAAAAAAAATATTTGTGTATTATTTGTTTAACTAATCTAAATCATATTCATAATCACGTACACAACTTATGAAACACCCTGTATAATTTTATATATATACAACCTTCAGAAATAGGAAAAATGAGTATATATATACATATATATATATATATATATATATGTATACATATACATATATATATATACATTTTTTTTTTCATCTTCGCTTCCAACAAGGCTGCAAGCAAACCACTATTAGAGTTGGAAATTACTGGAAGAGAAAAGGAAGTTTATAGAGCAAGATAACAATTAACAGGTGGCTTAAAGTATTGCAAATTATATGAATCAGGAAAGCAAGGTAAAGAAAACGAATTCCAAAGAACTGATGTTCCAGGAAAAAAATTAGACACAAGTTTTTGGAGCACTTAGGAACAGTCATAGAAAAAGAAGAATGAGACTTCATAGAAAAAGAAGAGACTTAATTGAATGACAAGTAACATGAAAATGAACTTTAGTAGATAGCATAAGAGATGCTAGCTCTTTAGAGCAGTACCCGTTATAGTATTTGTAGAAAAGAGAAGAAGAAGCAACATTAGGATAATGCGATAATGGTTTGAGGTTGGCTGCAAGAGCAGGTCTAACTATGTTTACAATGCATTTTTGCACCTTGTCTAAAAAAGAAAGGTTTTATTAAAGTTTACCAACCACTGTGAGCCCATGCTGATGCAGATGTGAGATCCTTTTCAAGCTCAAATGCCACCTCCAAGTAATCAGAAAGTGTTGGCTTCTTATCAAGATAAGAATAAATGGTAGTATCATCAGCACACAATGCCACCTTAGATGTAAGAATACCTGGAAGATTGAATGAGAAGATTGAAATCCATATTGATGATCAAAAAGTAAGTTATTAGATTCAAGATGAGAGATTAAGTGTTTGTTAAAGGTTCAAAAACCTTTCTTATGATAGGAAGAAAACTAATGGGACAATTGTTAAGCGAGTCAGATTGCTCTTCAGAATTTTTGAAAATAGGGATAACAGATACCGCTTTCCAGCAGGCAGGAAAACAAGATTCTGATCAGCACTTGCTAAATAGTTTTGAAAGTATTGACGACAGCTCTGAAGAACACTTCTGTAAGACTATTACAGGTATGTTGTCTGAACCACAAACTGTAGAAGAGCCTAAGCACATAAATCACTTTAGATACAGAAGCTGGACTGATACATATGTCAAGCAATGGATCAACCTGTTTGATATGGAAGTAATAGTTTCGATTGAAAATTACAGCAGGGCAATGTGAGGAAAACTACGGAAAAGAGTGAGAAGAACTTGACCTGGAATCATCAATAGGGAATAAAAGATTCCATGCCTGCCTGAATCCACGAAGTTATGTAAAAAGCACATTTGTCAACAGGAAAAGAAAAGATTATTACCCAAGGGCTATCACAATGAAACAGTCAACAGAAAGATCTCCTTATAATTGTAAGAGGTACAATTGTATAATCATTATAATTATCCCCCTATAATTATATAATAATCTCCCTATAATCGTAAGAGGTACAATTATAGGGGGATTCTAATGACGAAGAAGAATGAGGTAATAGAGAGATCAAACCATGATCAGACGCACCTAAGGGTGAATGAAGAGAAACTGAGCACTGACTAGGATCAGAAACAAGACATAAGTCGAGTAGAGAAGGTAAATGATTTGGATTGTCTGGAAAGCAAATTGGAAAATTAACTATTTGAGTTAGAGATTGAGAAAGGCAAAAGTTGTGGGCCTTAATGCTTGCAGAGTCACTGATAATAGAGCCAAGCCATTCAATGTGATGAGCGTTAAAGTCACCAACAACAACGATATTGGCTAAAGGATGAACAAAAAGGGTTTTGTCAATTTGATCAGAATTAACATTGAAAAGAGTGCAATCTTGAGATGATGAAGAGCGATATAGAACAAAGAGAAAGGCAATAGAGTGAAGTGGTGTTAAATGAAAGTACATAAAAGAATAGTTGGTGGATTCAAACCTAGTTTCCTTACAAATGGGTGAATTCTTACGAATGTAAAGGTCAAGCATGTGACTATTAGAGTCTATGCGAATTAAAGGAAGATAATCATCAACACTAAGATCACAAGTGAGACAGCCAAACTCAAATTAGTCTCACAAATTTATTCATTTTAAATTTGTTAAAGAACTTGATTCAAAGCATAGATAGTACTCAGTACACTATATAATAGTCCAAGCAATTGCCTCATTACTATTATGAAACCTTAGACCATAACAAAGGGTTTCAAATGTAACCTCAACAATGCACACCAAAAGTACGAGTAGCAACACCATCCATGCGTAACATGGCACTGTTAGTACTCTGTTATTTCACACTGTTAGTACTTTATATTTGATGTATGATGATCGAATCAGTCTCTCTGAGAGCTACCACAGAGTTTGGAAAATCTGACTACCAGCTGGCCTCAGAACTATAAAACTGAGTTTTAGAGCTGTATCCTCATTAGGAGTATTAGAATGAGTTGCCTAGTTATAAAAACAAAGACAGACATATAGATAAATATATATATATATATATATATATATATATATATATATATATATATATATATATATATATATATATATATATATATATATTATATACATATATGTATATATATATATATATATATATTTATATATATATATATATATATATATATATATATATATATATATATATATATATATATATATATATATATATATATATATATATATATATATATACAACAATAATAAAAGTAATAACAATAATATTCTCAATATAAAAAATGCAAGATATGTATTCATGTATATATACCTATATACATATACACATAAGCACACATACTTGCATATATATTTACATACATATACATACACATGTATACCTATATATACATACATACATATACAAACACATGCATATATATAAATACATTTACACATACATATACATACACACATACACATGCACATATACATACATACATACATACATACATACATACATACATACATACATACATACATACATACATACATACATACATACATACATACATACACATATACACATACCCATACACATACATACACACATACATGCATATATACATACATGTATACACACATATACACATATACATAAATCCGTACACACACATACATATATACATATATACATACACACATATAAATATATACATATACACATACACACATACTTATATACATGTATATATATACATATGCACATACATATATATATACATACACATAAACATGCATACATATACACATACCCATACATTAATACACACACATATACAAAATATACACATACACACACATAGTTGTGTACACATACACACATGTGTACACATACATATATACATACATACATACATACATACATACATACATACATACATACATACATACATACATACATACATACATACATACACACATACATACATACATACATTTATACATACATACATACATACTTTAAACATACCTACATACATACATACATACATACATACATACATACATACATACATACATACATACATACATACATACATACATACATACATACATACATACATACATTCATACATACATACATACATACATACATACATACATACATACATACATACATACATACATACATACATACATACATACATACATACATACATACATACATACATACATACATACATACATATACACATACACACATACATATATACATACACACATACATATACACACACATATATATACACATACACACACATGCATGTATAACCACACACACATATACATACATATAAATATACATACATATACACACACTAACATAAATTGGTTATAAAACAACCTAACCTCTCTTTCTTCATCAACCAAGAAACAAATCCACCTATTACCCCCATTTTTACATTTAACATTCTCAACCAACTCAGCAAACTAAAGATAGGATTGTCTGGACCAGATGATCTTTCTCCACTTTTACTCAATCCAGCTTTGAAATTGCCTCATCACTCTGTATCCTATTTAACCTCAAAGAAAACAGTTATGACCAATAAAAATCAGCAAACATAACATCAATTCCTAAAATATCTAACCTGTTTTCATCTAATGATTACCTTGCGATTGCTATTACATCTATGTTATGCAAAGATTTTGAACATGTTGTTACAAATTTTATTGTCCATCACACCAAGCACATATGGGTCTCAAACAAACAGTTTGGTTACCTTTCAGGATGTTGTACAATGCTATTATTCAATTTATAGAGGACTGAAATCATGCTTAAGATAATAATGAATCAATTTTTGCAATATTCTTTGATTTTGCAAAAACATTTGATCTTTTCAGTCATGACAAATTAATGCTAAAGTTAATGAATATTTTACCTAGCTAGATCACTTCCTGGATTGCAGCTTATCTAACTGTCCCCAAATCTCACAACTGACTTGAAATGTATTGAACCAATTTTAATGTGTACATTTTCAGTTCAGTTTTCTCAAATTTTACCTTTTATCAAATATTCTAGAGGTATATTTTCAGTTATGCATTATTTTCACTTAAAAATGTAACTCTTTATATATATCTTTTTATCTTTATATCAAAGATAACTTTATCTTTTATCAAATATTGGAATATTCTGATTATTATTGTAAATAAATAATTTTAAAAAACTTTATGATACGTAAAAAACATGGTGAATGAATGTAGAGTATATTTCATACAGAGAATATATCATATAAGTATGCTTTTGCCAACAGGTTGTCTGCATATTTTACAAATATTCATTTAGCTTGAGGTCATGTTTGCCAAAAATTTTAGTTTGGCGTTTTACCTTATTGTGAAGTTAATATTTTGTAAAAACAGGTCATACAAATAAATATTTTGAATTAGTTATTTACTTGCAAAATTTAGTCAGGTATTATTATGGAGTGATTAAGTACATTCTGTTCAGTGAAAATATTAGATAATAAGTTAACTGTTAAGTGAAAGTATTAGGTCTCTTAAACAAACCTATTTATTATAGTGTGAAAAAAATTAAAGATTTGCAAACTTCCGTTGAAAAAAATTATTTGAAACATTATCATAATGTGTTGTTATCACAATGTGTTATTATCACAATGTGTTGTTATCACAATGTGTTATTATCACAATGTGTTGTTATCACAATGTGTTGTGAATTTGTTAATAGTCATAAAATTTTGTTTATTTAAAAGTTTTAATGACTTCATCACTAGTAAATTTTTTTTCTCAAAATTTATTTCAAACGAGTTTTAAAAAACTTTAAAAAATGCAATCAAAATGTTTTTCATATTTTAAAATCATATTTAAAATATGACAAATTATTTTGGTTGCAAGTTGTATAATTGTTTTTTTATTGCAACATCATAGAGCAAATGTAACACATTTTGCATTTTAAAAATTATTTGTTGTTTTTTTTAATAGCTTTTTTGCAACATCATGTAGTAAATGTAAAACAGTGCATTCAGTAGCATTTTACTCAGAGCTTATGCATCAAATTTCAAATGTTGCCGGATATTTGCATTTATATGGGTATAAATACATTTTATATAAGTAAATTATTTTGTATAATCAAATATGAACTTTGTTAATATATTAGTATTTATATTGTATATATTATGTCTTTGTAGATGCAAGCCTTTTGATTTGATTCTTTCTGATTCGGTGGTTACACTTAATTGCTTTAAATGTATCAGGGATAACTTTCTGCAGGTAAATGATAAACTACTTACAAATTAAAAAAACCTTTGATAATAAGGTGTCTCATGAAATTCTAAATCTTTGAAAATTAATGATAAGTAAACAGATCAGCACAAAAAATGGTTTATCTCTATGCACTCCATATTTTTGAAAAACAATGGGTTTACAGATGGATATATATACACCAGGTGGATATTAAGCAGTCCTAAGTATTTGTCTTTATTTTATATTTACAGGTTTTTTTCAATATTCATACAACTTTTTTCTAAAAGTTTTTTTATTTTATTGTATCAATAAAAATTGATTGTAATTTAATTAAATATTTTTTTATTAGAATAAATCATGGTATTGCAACTTATAAATGTTATACGCACTTTTTATAATTGTTGCTATATTTTTTATAATTTTCAGCATTTTCGTTTACTTTCTTTATGTTGTTTACAGCATTTGGTTTACTTTCTTTTTGTTGTTTAATATTTTAAAAAATAATTCGGCACTGTTTGTATACATTGATATGTATCCCATCAATGCTAGGCTGTATTTAGTTTTGCTGGCACACTGTCTACTCCCTTCACAGGTGCATTAGTATTCCAAATGTGCAAAGTTTTCTCAAAAAAATGCAGATATTAAAGCGAGTTAAAATAATTTTTCATAAATGAAATTGTATTAATACAATACAATAACAATATATTAGTGATATTATATATAATGTATGAAATTGTATTAATGTAATGGAATAACAATATAATAGTGGTATTTATAACATTAATAAGTTTAAAACAATCATTAAAGCAAATATAAAAAAAATTAAAAGTTAAAGGTAATTTTTAAATGTTTTAGGGAATTTCATATGGATCTCCTAGACATCATTGGTGTACATTTTGTCATGAAAAAATGGGTATTGAAATTCCAGCTGTACAATTTAATACTTTACAGCCAGCAGGTTTTTCCTTATTACCTAAGTTTTAAAGTTATTTTTAAAAGTAGTATTTTGACATCAATATATTTTTGCAAGTTGCAAGTGTGCTAGATACTAAAGTAAAAGCACCACCCAAGTTGAAAGTTGTTCGAGATCCTAGTATTAAAGATGGAGCACCTTTGCCAGAAAATGGAGCTTGTAAGCATTATAAAAAAAGCTACAGGTGGTTTAGGTGAGAAATTCTAGATATTTGAATTAACTTTTTTGTTATTAAATTTTATAATTGAAACAATTTTACATTTATTTTTTAGATTTCCATGTTGCGGTAAAGTGTTTCCATGTGATAAATGTCATGAGGAAAGTTCTAATGATGGTCATGAAATGTTACTTGCAACTAAAATGTTGTGTGGCTTTTGTGCTAAGGAACAGGTTAATACTTTATCCAATTTCATTTTCATAATGAAAAAATTTTTTACGTGTTTTTCTTCAATATGCATCTAATATCATAAATTTTTTGTCATAATTTTCTTAATTATACTAATTTCTTAATTATTTTTTTGTGGTGCTTTTTTAACTATTAAAATTGAATAAATATCAATCTATAAATAAAGAAATCATCTCAGTAATTAATACTAATATTGTAAGAATGATTTTTAAGAAAATTTTTTTTAACCTTAAGTAGAATAATATTATTATTAGTCATCATACATTAGCAATAAAATCACCAACATAAATAAAAAATAACTCAATAATCTCCTCAATAAATTTGAGGAGATCAATCAGGTTGAAATGAGCTACAGGCTGGACCACCCTTGTACAACATTGCAAGGAAATGTTTAAAAAAATTGCATTATGGCAAGAGGGTATTGACCATAGAGTCATTTAACTAGGGGACTATAGAAAGCTCTTTGAACTAGTTTTCTTCTATTTGAAAAGAGATATACCAGGACTTCATTTTGGTTAGTCTAGAGCTTGGGAAAAGTACTTTTTTATATATATACTTAACAATAACAATTTGTTCTTAAGGTTCATGGCAGATGCTTTATACCTGCTGACCCTGAGGATGACTGAGATGGTAGCACAAAATATGAATGAGGAAGAGAAGAAGATGGTAAAGACAGTGGCCTATTAAATATTTTTTTAATATTATATGATAGACTTCAAAGAAAATGGCTGCCATTTAAATTAATAACCAACAATGATGTTGAAAAAGAGGTAAAGAAAATGTTGAAGAAGTTTGTCAAGTGTGATGTTCCTGAGCAGTTTTATATGGGAAAACTGAAGCTACCGGTTATTAGCAGGTTAACTGTGCATATAGATCAACTACAAGCACCGTTAACCTGCTAATAACTGGTAGTAATAAAAATTAAAAATGAGGGTTGATGTAAATTGTTCATTAACTAAAAGTTCAATATTTAAAAATATTGAATTAATTATTCATTGCTGTTATACTTTGAAGAATTAAAATGTGTGTGTTGTATATTGTATAATGTATATTAATACATAATATTAATGTATAATGTATGTTAATACATATACATAGATATAGATAAATACATAGATATATATATATATATATATATATATATATATATATATATATATATATATATATATATATATATATATATATATATATATATATATATATATATATATATATATATATATATATATATATATATATATATATATAGTGCGTGGTGAATTAAAGTAAATGAAAAGTTTTTATGAGCTATATTTATAATTTAATAAATTGAAGCAATATTTTCCTATACATTTGCATGAAATTCATGATCGTAAAAAGTTTGTAGTATATATATACATACATATATATATATATATATATATATATATATATATATATATATATATATATATATATATATATATATATATATATATATATATATATATATATGGTATTTTCAAGCAATGGGCGCGAATAAAAATTTACAAATCATTAACTATATAATAACGTTCATTACGAGTAATGGAAGGTTTTTTAACTATACCAATTATGCACAATTTTATTAATATTATTTTTGTTAACTGGTGGTATTTTAAAAATGCACAAATTCGTTATGAAATTAAAAAAATGTAGTTTTTAAACACGTTAGCATTGAGGTCCAATACACTGCAATTATAAACTTTGTTAGATGCTTTTTATCTCATACAGATTACCCACTTCAAGCCCTATTTAAAAGGAGTTTATATAAGATTAGCTTTTTTTTAAGTTTCTTGGCCAACCATTATTCTCTAACCGTAGTAGTAAATAAAACTGTTAAGCTGGGGAATAAACTATTTACAGAGCAGTAAACTATATACAGAGCAGCCGTGGCGCAGTGGTTAGAGTTCTGGCTCAGAACCCAGAGGTCCGAGGTTCGACGGCATCTCTAGCCCAACAAGCGACATTGGTACGGAAGGAGGCATGAACTTCCTGTTAAATGCTTTCCCGCGGTGCTCTATGATAAGACCGCAAGGACTTCTGGGAGCACCTAAATACATACAAAAGAAAAAAAAAAAATTTACGTCATAAAACCATAAAAGGTTAAAACACAGTAAGGTAATGATAAAACTGCTTCACATTAAAATATCGTTTTTCAAAAACAAAATAAGTTTTTAATTTTAAAACTATTTACATATAGACTTTTGAGAAGTGCAGAGATTATTGTGAACTTGCGGAAAAAAATCAGACCATTAGGTAAAAATTAACAAATATGGAGCTGTTTTACACGCCTTGAATTTTATAAAATTCAAGTTGCATTTCACGAAATCAAGTTGCATTTCATAAAATTCATTTTACATTTCTTTAAAATCAGGCAGACATGTTTTTATTCTGAGTAATAAAACACTCAAAGAGATCAATAGAAAAGATTACATTTCTCCTTCCTGGGTATTGTGGTTTTTGACCTGCATTTTTTAAAGGAAAACTTAAATTCATAAGTTTTGATATTTTAGTATTATTATTTAAGAATAATTTATGTCATAAAGTAACAAATTGTTTAAAAACTGTTTGCAAAATGGTTTAAAATCAGATGTAAAATACAAAGAAAATAACTGTAAACTATTTTTTTTTTCTAGTTACAGACTTTTCTTAAAATCAGTAGAAATATAATAAAAATGAAATCAGTAGAAAAAGCACTTCAATTTTATCTTGTCAAAAATAAATGTAATAAGTATTTAGCAATGTCTTTTTAATCCTTATTTTATCTACATTGCATTATTTTTAACTTACACTTTTAAGATCAACAAGGCTATTAGCCACACATCAATTTTATCTTGTCAATGAAATTAAAAGTAAAAAGTGAGAAAAAAACTTGGTTTAATAAATCAAATTATATTTCTTTTAGTATATGCTTAAATTATTCTTTTGGAAAAAAATTTCTTTGAACAGAAGTTTTATAATTAATTTTTTTTTAATTTATTTTTCAGTTTAAATTTTGCAACAATCACTGGTTTAATGTTTGCAATAAAAAGTTTCTACTTTTAAAACTATTTTCAAGAAAAATTAACTATTCAAAATGTTTATGATTTAAGTAAAATTTTCTTCCTCACTTGCACTATGTTCTAAATCTAATATTATTACTGTAGCTAGATATACATTTAATGTTCAGGAATGCTCCTTGCTATGTCACTGCCTATTAGGGACGTTGCTGCAATTAAATATATAATTATTGAAATTTGAAATTTTTCTAAATGTTCTTATTAATTTCAAATTTTTTAATTTCAATTGCAAAATTATTTAAATATGAGAATTTTAGAAGGCTTAAATCAAAAATAAATGTAATAAGTATTTAGCAATGTCATTTTAAACCTTATTATATCTAGATTGCATTATTTTTAACTTACATTTTTAAGATCAATATGACTATTGGCAGATGTACGTTGAGCCTGCTGCAGAGATAAAATTCAAATCATGGTCAAATCAATCAAGAGATAAATCAAACCTTAGAGGTGTTTAGTGCTGGTGTTAGCATCATTTGACCGAAATCAAAATTGTAAAAAATTCTGATTCAAAACAAAGGGAGGTCCAAAAAGATGTAAAAACGGATAGAATCAAAGCTGAAATTCTTCTGAAAGCAGTTTTTGTTGATAAAGACTAGTTCTTTATCAACTAAACCACTAGGTCTTGAATTGTATATTTCACCAGACTACTGGGTAATTTTTGATATTTTAAGTCATAGTTTAAAAAATTTCTATGGATGAGACTTCCTCAGATTTTTTGGGTACAATAAAAATTCCAAAACTTTTAAAATCTTTCAAAGTTGCTAATAACTCATCAGAACTCACAGCAAAATAGTAAATCTATTAAGAATTGTTTAAGAAATTTATTTCTTAATATGTTTTTTAAAAAAGAAATATATTTTTTGTTTTTAAAAATAAATTGTTGGGTTGGATATTTATTTCTTAAAACAAGAAATGTATTTCTTGTTTAAAGAAAAAAATTTTGTAATAAGAATTTCAGTTTTGCTGTGCTTACAGTAAAATTTATTCAAGATAATGTAGAGCGTATGATTAGCGTAGAGAAGCTTCAGAAGCTACTTTAAGTACAGAGTTCTTGTGAAAAAACCATTAAAAAAAAAAAGATGAGTGGGTTCAAGAAGCTAGCTACGGCAACTGCTTCCTTGCTTTCTCGTTATTGAATAATTCTAATAAATTGATTTTGATCCGATATCTAACTGCAAACTCTGAATTTTAAAAGTACATTTAAAAATTATTTTTTTACATATTTTCTTGAGATATTTGTCTTAAGCTAAAAATTTATATGTATATAAATATTTATTGCACATTTGCTGCGTTTAAACGCTGAAATCTGTGGCAGTGACAGATCAAGCGTTTTTTTGGTGTTTAAGATAGCTAACATTTTTTAGTTTCCAGCCTCCAATCATCGCAATATTTTGCAAAGAATCATTATTTGACATAAGTATAAACTTAAAAATGTTTAGAATTTGTGCCATGACTGTTAACCTTATCAAACACCAAAAAATGCTGGATCCTTCACTGATCTGTGGTTCGATGCCTTCTTTAGGCTTTTTTTTTTTAACATAAAGAAAGTGTAAACTTCTAAGTTAAATGCTCTTTTGCGGTGCTCTATAATGCAACCATTAGGTTGGAGCACCTAAAATAACTACAGAAAAATACATACATACACACTGTATGTATGTATTTTTATTAATAATAATAATTTTAGGAGTTTGAATTTAATATAGTGTAATTCCTGTATAATATATACTAATTAGATAAATACTAATATCCTTATATGAATAAAATTGTTGTAATTGTTAAATAAAATATACTCTAATTTCTAACAATAGTATAAGATCTGCATATAATGGGTTAGTTATGTGGTATTAAAGGATGACCTTTAAGACTTTGAAAATTCGTTTGCTGCAATGAATAATTTGAAAAGAAAAATTTACGAGTGAAAATTATTTAAAAAAGAAGTTAAAATGATGCTTAAACACCAGCATTAAGAGTGATTTGATCGGAAGAAAGGAAAACAATTGATTATTTAAATTGAGGTAAATAATTAAAAATAAAATAATTCAACAGAAGAGAGCTTATTTGTATTAGCTTCTGACACAAAGAACTACAAAATTAAATAAAACTGCATGTAAAAGAAATAATGCTTGGTATGTAAAAATATGGATATGTAAAATATCGATTTTTAATATTTAACCAAAGCAAAAAATAGATATTTTTTCAAATAAGATATTTTTCAAAGTATTTATAGAATTAAATAAAATAAAATAATCATTGTTATGTAATATTTAGTTATAAGCTTAAATATTACATAAGTTATAAGCTTTAAATATTACATAACAATGAACCAACGACAGCAAGTGTTGTTACACTTGCTGTCGTTGTCGCGAATAATTCAAATAATTTTAGATTATTAAAGCAGCTTAATCAAAATGATTTTGAAAAAGCAGCTTAATCAAAATGATTTTGAAAAACAATTTACAAACCATGTTTTATGGTTTTGAAAAATAAGTTAATTATTCATCAGTTAATGATTCTTTAAAAAAAATAATTTGTGAAAGATGTCAGAAAGCATTTTAAATTTGATAAATATTAAGTTTGAAAATCTTAACCTAATAATATATACAGTTTGTATATGTGTAGTCGCATATAGTTGGGCACAAGTGATTCAAATTACTTTGCATCTTTTTTAAATTGTTATAAAAAGTCAACTGAAATATGTTGGCACTAATAGTTCATTCAATAGTTTTGTGTTTTTGTTAGGGAATTGTCTAGATTAAGAAAAATATTTTTTCGAATTTTCATTTTTTTGCTTTAAAAGGATTTTTCAGTTGAAACCCTTTTGCATCTTTTTGCATCATCAGATATTGTTAAAAAAAAATTAATTAATTTTTTTCATATTCAAATTTATTTTTGTTTTGCTATATTTTTTATTTGTTTGTTTTTACTCTTTTTTAAAGTTCTAAATTTTTGAAAACCTAAAATCAGTTTAAGATTTTTTAGCTACAATGCTTAAGAGTTTACGATCTCTGTTTTGTTATAAAAACAACGTTGTTAAACGCGTTACCCGCATATAAACGAAAGAAACCCGAAGTTAAAGGAGACTGGCCTTAAATCACCTGAGTAGAATTGAAGAAAATGAATAAAATTTAAAGCAAACTTCTAAAAAAAGTAGGCCTCAGCAAAATATTTATGGTAAAAATATCTTTTTTCCATTCTAACTTGTTATCTCTGACAGAAAAGAAAAAAATAATTTTTGTCAGCGAACCATTAAACAGACAATTTATGGTTTCTATTATTGATCATAAGTTAATATACCCTCATATATATATATACATAGAAAGTCTCAACCTGTAGTTTAAATGTATTATAAAAAGATGTTATATCGGGAACAGATTACTTCATCTATCCAACAACATTCGTGGAGTAGTGAAATAACATCTGCACATTTTTGTGTAAGATCATCCGCTTTTTTTCTTTACTGAATTAACATCTGTGCAACAACATCCGAAATTTCATTGATATCTAATAACATCTTTAGAAAAATGTAACTACATCCGAGAGTTTTCCACAATGCGTAACTACATCCGCCTAAAATAATGCATTATTAAATAAAATTTTCGGACGTAGTTACATCCGAAAAAAATCAGATGTGTAACTGCATCTGGTTAAAATAATGCATTATTAAAAAAAAAATTCCGGATGTAGTTACATTTATAAGTTACATATATAATTATTATATTATATAAGTGCTGCTACATCGACTGACAAATAGCCTGACTCGCAACGGAGTGCTGCTACATCGACTGACAAATAGCCTGACTCGCAACGGAGTGCTGCTACATCGACTGAGGGTTAGGTTTGGGCAGGCAGTCTATCAAATAATTTAAAAAAAAAAAAATTATTATGCATAAAATAATGCAATATAATAATTTTTTTTGGCGGATGTAGTTACATCCGAAAAAAATCAGATGCGTAACTACATCTGGTTAAAATTATGTATATAAAAAAAAAAAAAAAAATTCGGATGTAGTTACATCCGAAAAATCTACAGATGTAGTTGCACGGATTTTATTATACATTAATGAAATTTGGTAAGTTATTGCACGGATGTTATTATACATCAATGAAATTTGGATGTTGTTGCACGGATGTTATTATACATCGATGAAATTTCGGATGTTGTTTCACGGATGTGAAACAACATCCGAAATTTCAAAAAAACGGCTGTTATTGTACTGACCCGTTATATCCTTTTAGAAAATTTTTATTTTCAGTTACACCTGAGTTTCCTCGTATTTTTTTTTTTTTTTTAGGCATTTTCTAAGGAGAAACCATGCATCAGGTGTGGTTCCAATACTATGCGGAGCCGATCGTCTCATTGGGAAGGTGGGAAAGGATGCAGAGATGTTATTAAAATGGCGAGGTATTATTGAAAACATTTTGAAAATTATTTAAGTGGATATTGACTTTGAAATGAACACATTCGTGTTAAATATAGGTTTATTAAAGGACACCTGTTTAACTAGATTGCTTTAAAAAAAAGTTTTTTTGAGCAATTTAACCTATTTTAAAATATTTCTAAAATTTAAAAAAACATTTATATTTTTCTGTCCTATTTGTTTGAATAATTAAATCGATTCGATTCCCAATACACCCTCCCACCCCGGCTTATTTTTTAAGTAGTAAGGATTTTTAAATTTTTACCATTACCAATCAAAGATATAAAACAACTAAAATCTCGTTGTCATGCCGTGACGTTAATCTGTTGTCATGTCGTGACGTTAATCTATTTTAGTACTTTTTATATAGTAACAAAATTTTTTAGTTAAATTAAAGATTTTTAAATTTTTAAGTTAAATTAAAGATTCTTTTTTTGTCCACAATTAAATCGTTACTGTATGAAATTAAAATTTACCTTTTTTTTTAAGAGGCGACAAACGTAAAACAGCAGGTCTTGGGAAGACTGTTCCACGAAAACATGATGTACACAAGTCAAAATAGAAAAGTTTTACCAAATTTCAATTTTTTTTTTTCTGTAAAGTTTATATCTTGATTAATTTATATAGCTATTTTTCAAACAATATATGGATTGCTTTTAAAATGTTTTTTCTACTAAAAATTTGTCTTCATTTTTCTTTAGTTTTCATTTATATCAATTTTTCTTTATTCATATCTTTATTATTTTTCTTTATGTATATCTTTATTATTTTTTTTATATATATATCTTTATTAAAAAAACATTTTTTTTGAATTAAATAAAAAAAAACATTAAATAAAAGCTTGAACTTTCGAAGTAAAAAAAAAAATTAATTATGAATTTAACTTTTATTCGTAACATTTAATGTCTTATCACTTCTAATACATTATGCATTACACATAAATTGAAATTTATACATAAATTTGTCAGTTTATATTATTGTGTATTTGATATTTATTTTATATAATTTTACCTGAAATATGAGTTTCAGAGTGGTTGATCCCCCGTTAGATCTACCTAAAATTAACGCTAAAAATAATGAAGCAATTTTCGAAATACTGCGGTCACTCTCCATTTTACGCTAAACTTTTAAGTTTTACTTTTTCTAACAAAATTTATAATTTAAAGATTAAACATTTAACTTTATAATAAAAAAGATCAAACTTTTAATTTTTTATTTAAAAGATCAAACTTTTAACTTTTGATTGAAACAATACTACTTTGTTTTAAGGCAGAAAAAAAAGAATTAATTCGTTTTTAAATTTTATTAACTCAAACTTTTAAACGATATAAGCACAAATTTTTTGAGTTAAACTACAGAAAGGTATTTAATATTGCTATTAAATTAAAAAATTTCACTAAGCTTTGATTTTTACTCAAAAAGCAATTAAAACTACTGCAAATTAGGAATTTAAAGTAATTAATTTCGCTAAAAAAAAATCGGCAACTTCGCTTAAAAAACCCATGTACTTTGACCAATGAAATCCTATGCATTGCTTTCGAAACAAATATATATATATATATATATATATATATATATATATATATATATATATATATATACAGTACCACGTAAATTTTTCAAAGAACCAATTCTACTATTGGTTGCATAATATATTGTTCCTTTTACCATAGAAACCATTTTTATAATTTTTACTTTCAATTGACCAGATTTTTTCTTCAAGTAACTTGTCATTTTTATTTGTTACGTCATCAATATATTCGTATAATAACGTTATACTTTTAAGTATAATAACGTTATACTTTTAAGGCCTGGATGATATTGTTGGTGGTTTAAGTCCTTTTCAGGGAGATTTTTTTTTGAAAATTTTAATGTTTTATTTCTAGCATATTATTTGTAGGCTCGTACAAATGAACGAGCGTATAAATAATGTGAGAAACAATTAGACAATTACATTGTTCTTCACATTATTTGTACGCTCGTTCAAATAATGTTTACATAATAATTTTGTTTAAGCGCAAAAAAAAATTTTAATCCTTTAATTTTTAGGGTAATTGCAATATCTTTTTTATTTGATGTATAAACTGAACCTAACAAGTTTTTACAAATAAACCTTTTTAGGCACCGATTCTATTCCCTTAGGCTTCCAGCCAATTTTAACTAAGTATATAATATTTTGCTTTTAGAGAAACCATTGGGGTAAAGTGTGAGTAGAAGTGGGACAATTAAATTTAAAACAACATTTTAACACAAATTATTAAATAGAAACTGATAAAATCATCAAATCACCTAATCGACATAAAAATGTTCAAGAGCTTTCACCATTCAAAATAATCAAATGGCTTCGGGAAAAAGCGGGGCATAAATATTTCTTTTTTCTGTCCCACTTCACCCAAATATAAACACTTTTTTAAGGTTCATTTCAAAATAAGGGCTTTTAGCGCACGCAAGGAAACAAAGCAATATCTGCTAAATAGAGGGGAAAAAATTTAATTGTTTTCATTAAATAACAGTATTTATGCACCACTCCTAACTAGAAATTTCAGGCTCAACTCTTTCGAAACACAAACCTTGACGAACAAGACCGGTACGCGTAGAAACAGGTTGAGTGCGGTACGAACTCGTGGTTTATACTAGTCATATACCTTGTTTTCAAATTACTTTATTTACTCAATTCAAATTACTTTAACAATTCTTATACAACAGTGAAAATTAGAACGTTAAAGCACATAGTTGTTTTTTGTTTTATTTTTTGAAAGTTGGACATTCATTTTATTATTTTATAACTTTATTTTACTATTTTTTAGCCTGTAGTTGGAATAAATGAACATTTTAACACTGATAAAGGAAACCACAATTATTTTGTTAAACTCATTAAAATGTTCCCGCTCCAACATAGTAGATTCCATATATTACCAAAAACATAGGTCCCATATATTACCAAAAACATAGGTCCCATATATTACCAAAAACATAGGTCCCATATATTACCAAAAATTCTCTTTATAATATATCAAGTTGGGTATCAAAAGAAGCCTAATTTATAATTTATAAGTTTAAAAAAGTCAAAGATTATAAATAAAAATTAATCTTTTCAAAGTTATTGTTAAGGTTGTGCACTTCGAAACCCTGTTGTAAAAAAACTAACATTTTAAAACAAAAATTGAAAAACTTTTAAGGCGTTTTTTAACAACATTTTTTAAGAAACTACGTATTCAAAAAAGATTGTATAGAGATTTATAAAATCTCTATAAAATTTCACTTCTTTTTAGGCCCAACATGATATAGTTTAGGAAAAAAATATTTTTGGTAAAATATGATTCCTGCAAGTTCTTCATGGTACATGGTACATGCATGGTTATAACTGGATTGTAATAGGCATCACCTATTAACATCTTACGTTTTTTTCCACTGATTGAGATCAAATTATTTTTATATGAACGGCATCACCGTGCCGGTGATGCCGTTCATATAAAAATAATTTGCCAAGATTGTTTTACAATCGGCAACACTACCTTAACAGAATCTCCATGCTTGTCCATGCATGGCCAAGCATGGAGATTCATCATCTGTGCTACAACCGGTCAAACATCGGCAAGCAAGCATGGGCTAAGCTAAGTGTTGCTCTCCGTCAATGCATGGTCCATGCATGGCAGTCACTTTTTAGAATTAGTAAAACCATAATTTTTATTATAAATTCTGAACTGGTGAACATTCTTGATCTCAATCAGTGGAAAAAAACGTAAGATGTTATAAGCTGGTTCAGATCCATAAATGATACGCATCGTTATAAATTTCTTATTTTTGATATTGTTGATTTTTACCCATCCATAAATGAAAAACTTCTAAACAGCACTATTAGTTTTGCTGATCATCACCTGGTTATTGATCCTGAGAATAAGTCATTAATTCAACACGCAAGAAATTCACTACTTTTTAATAACGATCAAGTACAGATAAAGAAATAAGGGGGATTTTTTGATATGTCAAATAATTACCAGATTTTAGAATTAAGAAGCCACTTGAGGGCCTCTTAATCTTAAAATCTGGTAATTGGTTTGAAAATTTTTAGGTAAAATCAATCTGCTGTGTTGATTTTACGGGTCGATTACATTGCTCCAACAGTAAATGTTCTCTATTTTAAGAGTACTATTTAAAGATTGAATTACACATACCATAAGTGATGATAGTAGTAGACATGAAGACAGTTCCAAATTAGGAATGGATATAGGTTTGAGCAGAGAAACCATGGTTTCATGAGTCTATCTACGATCTGTTTACCAGGAGTTTGCGCAGTTATGAAAACTACAGCAGCATATGCACTTTTGCTCGCATCACAAAAGCCACAAATAGTTATGTTAGTTTTTTATTAAATGTTCTTTAAAGAAATAACGATGCCACTCATACACAAGATTACAAGATAATAACTGCATTAACTCATTTTTCAACTCGTCATCTACCTCCTCTCCCAATTTTTTATTATAGTACATATTTTTTGAAAAATGAGCTTTAGTGGTCAAATTAAAGGAGAAATAATTCAAATTGGGTAATATGTAGATGCAATAATTTTTAGAACATTTCTCTTTGTGAGTCTTTCATTTGTTCCAGCTTTATATTGCTTGGTTAGATTAATTGACAATTTTTCATCAATAGTGTCCCATGCAGGGCCTATTTTAGGAAAAAAAAATTGGTCAGCGGTGCCCCCCGTCCCGGAGAAATTTTAGCGGAAAATTGGCGTTTTTTCGCAAAAAAAAAAAACAATATTTGCCGTAAAAAACGCAAAAAAAAAAAAGGTCTTCAAATTATAATTTTGACGGCACCCAAATATGACTGATGCTGTCGAAAACGGTCTAGAATATTCCCTGCCATGTGATGCCTAGAATTTTACTTTCCGTACTTGAGTGATCTTGTAGATTAAAATATGATATCTTTGATACAAGGCAACTATTGTTTAAACGCCATTTTATAAGGTTTAAACCTGCTGCTTTTAGACGTGATTTTGCTTTGTGGCGAAATTCAAGTTCCTCATTTATGTATTTCCTCCTGCAATGCTATCGTAAACATATAAAAATTTTAATAAATTGTTCACATGTTCTGGATCGCTGTTTGTATCAATCTAAATGTTTTATGATAGATACTAATAATAATAATTGTGATGACCAAATAGTACTCTAGTATAGCAATTAGAAAAAACATTTGGTTATTTGTTGTTGGTCATATTGTCGAACCACAAGAATCTCAAAAAAACGTTTTTTGTTTACTGCAATGTTAAGAAATGCTTTCTCAATTTCACTGACCACTGCTATTTTGTAATTTCCAAATCTTATAAGAATCTTAATTAGCATAGGAAGCAGGCAAGGATCTTTTTTAAAACAATCGTTTAATGAAGGACTATTTGACGTTGCGTCAAAGACAATTCGTAATTTTGTGGTAGCTTTTTCCTCTTTGATTACTGCATGATGTGGAAGATAACGGACTCGTCCAAAGAGTGGTGGAAAAAAAGGAATTCTTTCTATAATTCCTTCATATTCCTGCTGACGTATAATCTCATCATACTGTTGTGATAAATTTGGTTTTTTTTTTAGACGGTTGAAGGTGGATAACAATCTGAGTTTGCTTTTCTAATAACTATCTGAAATTTGTTTGCGTTCTTGTTTTCAAG